GATATACATAGGATAATTTTGAAAAGATATAATTTGACTTTAGATACGAAGGTAAAAAAAAAGGTCCTACTGGAACCAACATGTTGTTTTAATAATTGTTTTGACTTGTACATTTTAAGAAAATTTCTGATAAATGATAATCACAGTGAAACCTATAGATGTTGTACATGTTACTAGGGTAATTAAGAGTTGTGACTTATCCTATTAATTATCATCCTTACTTACATAAAGGACTCGGAGAAGTATGTGGAGCAGCTCCTAGAACTGTTTAACAGATTCAGTGCTCTAGTGAGGGAGGCCTTCAGTGATGACCCCAGGTTCCTCACTTCTAGAGACAAGGTAAGCTACACCCAGCTGGCAGTAGTGCCCCTCACATTTTGCTAAGGATCACTTTTATTTTTGGGCATATGTGAAAATAAATATTTTATTTGGTTTATACTGAGATCATTTTTAAAAAATTGATTGTTCTTTTAATTCATCAGCATGCAAAAATTCCAAAAATCGTAATAACAGTCAGAAAATGAGCCACAGGAAAAGGGTTACCCTTAAAATTGGTAACAACGAGGTATTCACTAAAAAATGAGATCGCATATCTGGTTTTGTGGGATAGCGTTACACTCAGCTACCAAAGCTTTTCCGAGCTCCTGGAGTGTTCTTGGCTGAACATTTCTGGCAGACAGAGCTGTCTGCAGCATGTCCCACACATGCTCGATGGGATTTAGTTTCGGCGAGCGGACTGGCCAATCCATTCGTTGAATAGTCTCTTGCTGTAGATACTGCACCGTAACCCTTGCTCTATGTGGCCTAGCATTGTCGTCCATAAGGATGAAATCAGGGCCAAAAGCGCCAGCTTAGGATCTGACATAGGCATCAAGGATTTCATGGCAATAAATCAGGGCCGTAACACTACCATTATGGAAGACATGGAGGTCAGTTTTCCGACCTAGGCTTATGCCTCCCCACACCATCACTGAACCTTCGCCATATCGGTAAAGTCGAGACAGAATCTGGACTCGTCAGTAAAAAGAACCGGCTTCCATTCCTGAAGAGTCCAAGTGCTGTGAGCTTGGGCCGATTCTAATCGGTCCCTAACATGTTAATGGAACTCGTATTGCTGGTCTACGTGACCTTAAACCAGCATCATGAAGACAGTTCCTAACTGTCTGAGCGGCTACCTGGGTACCAGAAGCATTTAGGAGGTCATTTTGTAAAGCTGTGGCAGTCTGGAACCTGTGATGCCATGCCTGTATGAGCAAAAAAACGCCTTGGCACTGCGTTGTAGCCCTAGAACGACCTCCAGCATGACGTCTGGAAGAGTTTCCGTTAGTTTTGAAACGATTCAATATTCTTGACACCACACCTTGAGACACCCAAAGGTCTGCTGCAACCTGACATTGAGACATGCTAGCTTGCAGCATTCCGATGCCCCTATTCATTTCACCGTCATTTAACCGTTGTCTGGTTTGTCTTTGTGCCATATTAGCTCTTTTCATCTAATGATGTACCACGGAGTTCAGTAGACCAGTGAACATTTCTAGTGAAGTAATACTTCATACACAACAAATAACAGCAATGAAGTCACAAATTCTGCATTAGGTGATAAAAAAGTGAAAATAACAATGTGTGAAACCAGAGCTGAATACAGTAACCAATTCTAGCTGACACATGTAGCTATTTCAGATATGAATATACATGGGGAGCTAAGTACCAGTTAGGATTGATAACATATGGCTGGTGGGATCTAAAACATGTTCAGATTTTTTGGTGGGCTTGGGAAAACTGTAGTTGTTGGTGGTAAAGGTCATGAAAAGGTGTCTCCCAGCTCTCAAGTATGGTATATATTTATTTTTGGAATAGCCCTGATAATGGCATGCAATAAAGTCATATACTGAAGTTTGACAATTCATTCAAATGTGTGTTTCAATAAGTTTTAAACAATTTTTACCCTGGATTGACATGCAGAAATGTCAGTATAAAGTTCTCATGATTTTATGTTTCGTTACAGGCCTACAAAAATGTTGTGAATGACACGTCCGTATTCCGTCTAGAAATCCCAATGAAAAACAAAGGGTAAGTTAGTTGTGTACTCAGTTACATGAACGTAAGAAGTTGAATAGGTAGAAATGGGAGTTAAATGAAATAGTAAATCTTTCAGTTAGATTGATTTCAATTTTGTGTGTGTAGTATCCCACTGGTACTGCTGAAGTGGACTATTGGTCATGCGCTTTCTCTCCCACTGGTACTGCTGAAGTGGACTATTGGTCATGCGCTTTCTCTCCCACTGGTACTGCTGAAGTGGACTATTGGTCATGCGCTTTCTCTTCATATATAATTTTGTGGGGAAATATCTCAAACAATCTGTCACAAACATTTGCCAACTTTTGTATGTGATCTTTGGATGGCAGAATGTCACATACTGAAATGGGGCCCTATGCTGGGCATTTGTCCATATATTCTGTCACGTATAATTGCCAAGTTTTGTTTGTGAGGGTACCTCTTAGTATAGTGATGTGCTATTGCCCTTCATCTTGATATTTTGTCTGAATGTCTATACCAATGAACTCATCAATAAGTAGTCTATTTGAATGCTTAGTATTTATTTTGGTTTTTGACATTTGATGACATCACTGACTCTACATGATATCTTTACATACATTCTGTATGTTTCTAGTAATAATGATGTATCAAGTAATTGGCTTTATTAACAGTATTGGTGCCAAGACCCAACCAGAGTCCAAGTGTCCTGAACTTCTAGCAAACTACTGTGATATGTTACTTAGAAAAACTCCTCTCAGCAAAAAACTCACCTCAGAAGAAGTCGAAAAGAAGCTCAAAGATGTGGTAAGTTTGGAAAAAATACATTTATTATATATTTCAATATCAGTTACTAGTATTTATGTTAAATATCCATTGTGTCCTAACAGTTACTTGTATTTATGTTAAGTCTCTATTGTCTCCTACTCTCACAGTTACTAGTATTTATGTTAAATCTCCATTGTGTCCTTCTCTCACAGTTCCTTGTATTTATGTTAAATATCCATTGTGTCCTAACAGTTGCTAGTATTTATGTTAAGTCTCTATTGTGTCCTTCTCTCACAGTTACTAGTATTTATGTTAAATCTCCATTGTGTCCTTCTCTCTCAGTTACTTGTATTTATGTTAAATATCCATTGAGTCCTAACAGTTACTAGTATTTATGTTAAGTCGCTATTGTGTCCTACTCGCACAGTTACTTGTATTTATGTTAAATCTCCATTGTGTCCTTCTCTCACAGTTCCTTGTATTTATGTTAAATATCCATTGTGTCCTAACAGTTACTTGTATTTATGTTAAGTCTCTATTGTGTCCTACTCTCACAGTTACGTGTATTTATGTTAAATCTCCATTATGTCCTACTCTCACAGTTACTTGTATTTATGTTAAGTCTCTATTGTGTCCTTCTCTCACAGTTAATAGTATTTATGTTAAATATCCATTGTGTCCTAAAAGTTACTTGTATTTATGTTAAGTCTCTATTGTCTCCTACTCTCACAGTTACTAGTATTTATGTTAAGTCTCTATTGTGTCCTCCTCTCACAGTTACTAGTATTTATGTTAAATCTCCATTGTGTCCTTCTCTCTCAGTTACTTGTATTTATGTTAAATATCCATTGTATCCTAACAGTTACTAGTATTTATGTTAAGTCGCTATTGTGTCCTACTCGCACAGTTACTTGTATTTATGTTAAATATCTATTGTGTCCTACTCTCACAGTTACTTGTATTTATGATAAATATCCATTGTGTCCTACTCTCACAGTGACGTGTATTTATGTTAAATCTCCATTGTGTCCTTCTCTCTCAGTTACTTGTATTTATGTTAAATATCCATTGTATCCTAACAGTTACTAGTATTTATGTTAAGTCTCTAGTGTGTCCTACTCTCACAGTTACTTGTATTTATTTTAAATATCCATTGTGTCCTACTCTCACAGTGACGTGTATTTATGTTAAATCTCCATTGTGTCCTTCTCTCACAGTTACTTGTATTTATGTTAAATATCCATTGTATCCTAACAGTTACTAGTATTTATGTTAAGTCTCTACTGTGTCCTACTCGCACAGTTACTTGTATTTATGTTAAATATCCTTTGTGTCCTAACAGTTACTAGTATTTATGTTAAATCTCTATTGTGTCCTACTCTCACAGTTACCAGTATTTATGTTAAATATCCATTGTGTCCTAACAGTTACTAGTATTTACGTTAAGTCTCTATTGTGTCCTACTCTCACGGGTACTAGTATTTATGTTAAATATCCATTGTGTCCTAAAAGTTACTTGTATTTATGTTAAGTCTCTATTGTGTCCTTCTCTCACAGTTACTAGTATTTATGTTAAATCTCCATTGTGTCCTTCTCTCACAGTTACTTGTATTTATGTTAAATATCCTTTGTGTCCTAACAGTTACTAGTATTTATGTTAAATCTCTATTGTGTCCTACTCTCACAGTTACCAGTATTTATGTTAAATATCCATTGTGTCCTAACAGTTACTTGTATTTATGTTAAGTCTCTATTGTCTCCTACTCTCACAGTTACTAGTATTTATGTTAAGTCTCTATTGTGTGCTACTCTCACAGTTACTTGTATTTATGTTAAATATCCATTGTGTCCTAACAGTTGCTAGTATTTATGTTAAGTCTCTATTGTGTCCTTCTCTCACAGTTACTAGTATTTATGTTAAATCTCCATTGTGTCCTTCTCTCTCAGTTACTTGTATTTATGTTAAATATCCATTGTATCCTAACAGTTACTAGTATTTATGTTAAGTCGCTATTGTGTCCTACTCGCACAGTTACTTGTATTTATGTTAAATATCCATTGCGTCCTAACAGTTACTAGTATTTATGTTAAATATCCATTGTGTCCTAAAAGTTACTTGTATTTATGTTAAGTCTCTATTGTGTCCTTCTCTCACAGTTACTTGTATTTATGTTAAGTCTCCATTGTGTCCTACTCTCACAGTTACTAGTATCTATGTTAAATATCCATTGTGTCCTACTCTCACAGTTACTTGTATTTATGTTAAATCTCCATTGTGTCCTTCTCTCACAGTTACTTGTATTTATGTTAAATATCCATTGTGTCCTACTCTCACAGTTACTAGTATTTATATTAAATATCCATTGTGTCCTACTCTAACAGTTACTAGTATTTATGTTAAATATCCATTGTGTCCTACTCTCACAGTTACTTGTATTTATGTTAAGTCTCTACTGTGTCCTACTCGCACAGTTACTTGTATTTATGTTAAATATCCATTGTGTCCTACTCTCACAGTTACTTGTATTTATGTTAAATCTCCATTGTGTCCTTCTCTCACAGTTACTTGTATTTATGTTGAATATCCATTGTGTCCTACTCTCACAGTTACTTTTATTTATGTTAAATATCCATTGTGTCCCTCTATCACAGTTACTAGTATTTATGTTAAATTTCCATTGTGTCCTACTCTCACAGTTACTTTTATTTATGTTAAATATCCATTGTGTCCTACTCTAACAGTTACAAGTATTTATGTTAAATATCCATTGTGTCCTACTCTCACAGTTGCTAGTATTTATGTTAAATATCCATTGTGTCCCTCTCTCACAGTTACTTGTGCTGAAGTACGTACAAAACAAGGATGTGTTCATGAGGTATCACAAGGCCCACCTGACGAGAAGACTCATCCTTGATACATCCGCTGACAATGAGAAGGAAGAGAACATGGTGGAATGGCTAAGGGTATGGTCACTATATAAAATTATTATTTTATGTTTATACTTCCGAATTAAAAAAACAAAATGCAGAAATGTGGCAAAAATTGTAGGAAAATTGATCTCAAAAACACTTAACAATAGAGCTGTACAAATATCAAAAATATTGGAGGAAATTTTCCATCTGTATTTTTCTAACCAAGTTAACTTCTTCCCTTCTGTGCACAACCTAGAAAAGCCCTAAAACATCTGACTATGGGGTGTAAAAGTATCTCTTCTAGATGGGAACAACCACAACAAATCAGATAATATTGTATATTTGTGAAAGGTAGATATGCCAGCTGATTATTAGTTTTGTATTATTCGTAGGAAGTTTGTACTCCAGCTGATTTTTAGCTCATCATCTGGCACAAAGGATGCCAGCATGGTCCGGCGTCCGTCCGGCGTTGACTTTTTACTTTAAACAACTTCTTCTCAATAACCAAGGACCCAGGCTGATGATATTTGGCATGTAGCATGCTGGGATGAAGGCCTTCCAAGTGTGTTCAAATGAATGACCTTGACCATCTTTCAAGGTCACAGGGGTCAAATGTCTTAAAATCTTCAAACTACTTCTACTCAATAACCAAAAGGCCCAGGGTACTGATATTGGGCCTATAGCATGCTGGGATGAATGACATTGACCCACTTTCAAGGTCACTGGGGTCAGATGTCTTAAAATCTTCAAACGACTTCTTCTCAATAACAAAAAGGCCCAGGGTACTGATATTGGGCCTGTAGCATGCTGAGATGAAGGAATGCCAAGTTTGTCCAAATGAATGACCTTGACCCACTTTCAAGGTCACAGGGGTCAATGTCTTTAAATTTTCAAACGACTTCTCAATAACCAAAAGGCCCAGGGTACTGATATTGGGCCTATAGCATGCTGGGATGAATGACATTGACCCACTTTCAAGGCCACAGGGGTCAATGTCTTTAAATCTTCAAACGACTTCTTCTCAATAACAAAAAGGCCCAGGGGACTGATATTGGGCCTGTAGCACGCTGGGATGAAGGGCTACCAAGTTTGCTCAAATGAATGTTCTTGACCCACTTTCAATCTAATAACCTTGTTCGACATTCAAGGTCACAGGCGTCATATGTTTAAGTCTTTTGATAGGTTCTTATGAATCAAACACTGATATTCTGCCTGTTGCTGTAATTTAGTCCACTTTTAAGATTACAAGTGTGAAATTAATTCCAGGTGAGCGATGCAGGCCCATTGGGCCTCTTGTTAGTTTTGTATTATTCGTAGGAAGTAAGTACTCCAGCTGATTATTAGTTTTGAATTGTTTGTAGGAAGTCGGTATGCCAGCTGATTATGTCAACAAATTGGCAAGGATGTTCCAAGACATCAAGGTCAGTGATGACCTCAACCAAGAGTTCAAGGATGCTCACAGGAACAACAATGAGGGTATCGCAGGTACACGCATCTTTTGTCTTGTAACTTTAATGTTGTATACAGACTTTCCGTAAAGATTGAATTGTTATCCTGTAATTGTCATGAGGATAATGTAGTTTATATCTTAAATTATCACCCAATATTCCTCCTACTGGATATGTGATGAGATCTTATAAACTGAAGAGTATAAAGGGAACTCTTTTCTAATAAAGTATTGAAGGGCTAGCAATAAATTGTTGATAAAATGAAAAATAAAGTGTTATAAAACAACCTTTTCCAGACTCTATAAACATCAAGATTCTGAATGCTGGAGCCTGGGCGCGGACGAGTGACCGAGTGACGGTATCTCTTCCCATGGAACTCGAGGATTACATACCACAGGTGGAGGAGTTCTACAGGCAGAAACACAGTGGTCGCAAACTACAGTGGCATCACCTCATGTCCAACGGCATTGTGAGTTCATGAGGTGTTCTACATGTAGTGGGGTACACTTTGATTGGTGCATATAAATAATGGCTAATCGAACCACTGTCCTCTTTGCATCAATTCTTGTTGATGTGATGACAGATTTTGCATTGTTTGCATTTCATACAGATCAAACTTGTATATGAAACTCATCCTGAAATTTAAATTTTGAGCTTGTCTTGATGTTTTGATTTTAGCTTACTGAAAGTTATTAGAAATTAAAGCTTTGTTTCATAAATCTCAGTTGGGGAAGCTCCTTAACAATTCTATATGGATATAATAATGACCATTATGATGACTCTGTTACAGATAACATTTGCAAATGATATAGGACGGTTTGACATAGAGGTCACAACTTTCCAAATGGCTGTGTTATTTGTGTGGAACCAAAGACCTAGAGACAAAGTGACATATGAAAGCTTGCGGCTTGCCACAGAGCTCCCTGACACTGAGCTCAGGAGAACTCTATGGGTGAGTAAATCTTATACATGTATTGTCTTTTTACCTTTTTCTGTAAAAGAACATTTTAAATAAATCTTGATTTTATGTAGTAAATAGTTCCTTTTTTAACAAAACTACAATCTCTCAAAAATAAGTTTTATGGATATACAGAATCTAGATCGACTTAATTTGTTTAATGTATCTACAGGCCAACTGAATCTTTTGGAACACATGTATAGAGCTTAACCCTTAACTTTTAGAATAAAGTGCTTCCAAGTGGTTTGAGAATTCTAAATAAACAACAATTTGATACTACCACAATACATTGGTGAAGTTTTATGTGATACTGTGCTGTAGTCACTGGCTGCCTTCCCTAAGATCAAGCGACAGCTACTGATGTGCTGCCCTGAGTCCAAATCTGCCAAAGACTTTGATGACAGTACACAGTTCTGGATCAACCAGGATTTCTCACTCATGTATGGATAACATCAATCTGTCCATTACTGTAAAATTGAAAATGCTTCCATTTATCGTGTTGAGTAAATTAATGCGAAAATTCCCACATGCAAAATTTTCCACTTTTAGAGTAAGCCTTACATTCTCACAAATATGAGAAAATATTTATCAAAAAATTCTCAATATCAGCAATCATTTTACTCAATATGATTTTAAATTTATTGCATCAAACACATTAATATTTTTGCCTTCGAAAGTTTCCTTTTTGGAGAAAATATAAGGGGAGAGAATCAATGGAAAATATTTCTGATGATATAGTATTTAACATTTGCTTCTGTCCATGGCTACTTGCTGCTTTAATTGTACCAGTTTCTGGAATGTTCTCCTATACTATTTGGTGTAGGATCATCAGACTTGGTATAATGATAGATATTTAGCTAAATAATGTATTTTCTAAACAAAGACATGCCAATTTTACAATCACCTGAATATTGAATACATGTAATTTGATTAATGTGTCATGTGTTTCTCATGACACATGTGTTTATAGCCTAGATATGGGAACTAGCTCAGCTGATTATCAAGCAGTTAGGTCTAACAAGTTTAAGGAAGACAAAAAGTGATGAACTGTGACATTTTTTCTAAATGGGCTGTGTCAATGTTAGTGTTTGTCTAGCTAAACCATGTTCCTTAGCACAACAGGCTACTGGTGATATTAGAACATGATCTTTATTATCTTAATGCACTTTTATTACAAATATGTATTACAGTGCTTTTGTAAGATAAGTATTAAAAATATTTCCCTAATGTTTTATGAGTGAATTTTTACCACAGATTTGGCTATATACATGTTAATGAGTAATTTTGTTTCATGCACAGTTCTGAATAAGGTTTGAAGGACTATGCAGAATTTATGCAAATTAAATGTTACATGAAACAAATTTATACCTATTCTTTCAACAGATTTTTTGGGGGGGATGATTGAAGATTTATTATGATATTTTCTCTGTTGACAGCAAAAATGGGAAGGTGCAAAAGCGAGGGAAGATCAACTTGATTGGTCGGCTGCAGCTGTCTACAGAGAAGACAAAAGAGGAGGATAATGAAGGAATCATGCAGCTACGAATCCTCAGAGTACAGGTGAGAATTTATATTATAACGGTAAACCCCAGTCCCCTCCTGGCTTTTTTTCATCCCTCCAGCTGCTGCATTGAATCTCCTTGATGGGTAAAGTCAAAGCCCATATCAATCTCCAGCTTATGATATTTATATACACGTTGGAGTTCTCACTTGTGTTTTTGTCATTCAGCCCTCATTACAGGTGAAAATTTTACTGAATATTTGAACAAATTAAATTGATCTTATGAGGTAGTATTTTTAATATAGTTTCCTACTGGTTATCAACAATTTTCCTAGTAAGGCTGGGAAATATTATCATGATTTTATATATATATGAAATAAAAGATAAATAGAAAATTACAACCCATAGAGAAGAAATTTTGAAGTGTATCAGTTAAATTATTTCATACATCATGCTGTATGTTTCTTATTTTGTAATTTTCAATGCATAAACAAGAAAATTGTGATAATGATAAAAAAATGCCAGAAATCACTGGTGACTTATCTGTAAGGTCACAAGCTTGGTATAACAAAGAGAATGACTGTTCTTAACGTTAATGATGAAACTTTTCTGTGTTTATAGGAGGCCATTGTGAAGATCATGAAGATGAGGAAGCACATCACAAATGCAGCCTTACAGACAGAATTGGTGGAGATACTACGGAACATGTTCCTACCCTCCAAAAAGCTCATCAAGGAGCAGATAGAATGGTTGATAGAACACAAGTACATGCGTAGAGACGAGGACAATATAAACATGTTTATCTATATGGCATAGATGTCCCTGTGTAGTTCTATCACATAACATTTCGCTCTTTCTACGCCAAAGCCATGACTTGACCAACAGCCCCTGAATATTAACCTGTGGTTGAACTATGCTGTGATGTTGAAATAGCATGGTATGCTGTGTTAAACAACAGTCCAGGCTTGTCAGAGCATGGCACTATGGCAATTAAAGGTGGCCATATATGCTTTTAGTCAACAGCTGACTTTTGTTGCAGGAATGTTGAGGACATGACTTTGGTGTTAGAATTAAGCTGTTTGATAACAGCTGACACCCGAATGGAATACAGAGCTGCTGGAATCATGTCTCATTAGCTGTTGCACTATGGACTATTGATATGCACCCAATCTTCAAAAGAAAAGTTGGATAGCTATCCGAAGCTCCTTCCCTTTCAGTTAATTGAAATGAGGAAAAGTCATAACTTGTTTCCACTTTAAATAAGCAGAATCTGGCAATATTTGCCTGACTTACTGGACACAGTAATTGGCTGACCTTGGAAGAGTAGAGCCTTTACCTCAAGTTTGTACCACCTCAGATTTGTAGCAGACTGTCATCCTGACAGAGATCAAGTGGAAGACTATCTTACTGCAGGAAGTAATGGGACACCCCGTTCCAGGCATGTGATATTGTCTCGTCGTTGTGTCGCCTAGATACAATATGTAGCTCTACTCCCGTCACTTACGGACAAGATTGTGGCGCCACCTATCCATCACCATGGGACATTGCATGACTCTTGGTAACCATAATGATGTTCCTTTTTGTACATATGTAGAGTTATGACGATTGTCCTACTCCTCTGTAGTCCGGAGTCTGTCGGTATACCAGACACAGTGACATAAATTTCAAATAGCCTAGCAGGTACTTACAGATCCTACACCTAAATTGCCTGTGCCATTATAACAAATGTCAGTATGAAATCATTAAATTTTCTGCAATATTTCATAACTTTTATTTCGTAGAACATGCGTCACTTATAGTAGTCTAGAGGTTCAAAGAAATTCGATGGTTTCATGGTTGCCAGCTTACCTACTTATCTTCAAACAAAAATGTTGTATGTAAACTAATACATACATGTATCAAAGTAAAATGAAGGTCAGGAACAAGTTAGGCTTGATAGGATTACTGAAATATTGGTTTGTGTTGTCGATCTGTCCTGTTAACCGTGATGTTCTGTATCAGGAGTCGGGATAATCCTATCCTAGCATAGTCTCAGCACCTCTATATCAAAGTTTTGGTTTTAATGATTTTATGTCAGTATTTTAACCAATTATACAGGGACTATTCTAGTAAAATATCCATTGAAAATATATCCCATCCCTGGACTCCTGGTTTTGTCTTCGAGTACACCCATAGAATCGATTAATACTTACCATAGAAATAATAGGCAGGAAACTAAATCAGATGTGATCTGTTTGGGAGTCCTGGGTTGGGTAGTTTTTACTGGAATAGCCCTAATTATTTCTGTTTTGTATAATGTTATACATGTAAAGTTGGAATGATATGGGACAACACTAGGATAACTACCTTATTCACTGTCTTATGATAAGACCCTCCTCCTATACACACCCCTTCTAACTATTCTAATACCTTTTTGGAGGAAAAACTTACTAACCACCCCTTCTACCATTTAGGGACATAAATAGTTATAAGATTTGTTTGTCTCTTTACTGAAGTTATTGCCTTCATATTTTTTCCCCATTTTCTTCTTTAAAACAATCAAACACATAACCAGCATGTCTGGACATCCTCGATATCCACACATAGGGGTTATGCTCACTTTCACTCTCTACACCCCTGGAATAGGTCATGGCAAAATTGAAGGCACGAAGATAGCTGTTTGATTGGTCTCGGGTAAAAAGGATGATGTCTGGAATGCTTGGAAGAAAGTGTTTTTCACAAATAACATTCAAAAAATCAGTTCAACAACCCCCTTTTCTATCATTTGTTTTAAAAGCTTGGGGTGCCCAATATAGCCAGTATGATACATGTATAACCATTACAAACCAAAGTGTAATTTAACCTCACTTAAACTTAAAGAAAAGATTATCTCCTTTAGTATGACAAGTCTGGTGTTATATTGGCCAATTGGGAGGAATGTTTTATATCTTCAAATATAACATATGTCAATTATTTAATAGCGATACTTTCTTATTCCAAAATTGGGGGAATTCTAAATTTGCTTACTTGTTGTAAGTTAAGAAAATGTAGAGTCATTCATTATTCTTGAGATTATATATTTGTAAGTCGTATGCAACATTAATGATATTTTCTTGTTTCAAAAAACATTCCTGTATGGTGATCCAAAAGGATGTATGGTTAAGCCTCTTTTTAAAAAAAAAAAAATGTAACTTGGAAACATTATCTGCAAAAAATGTATTACTAAAGACTAGGTAAGTTGACGGACACACAAAACCTTCGCAAACAAAACTTAAAGTAGCACTTCTAATTTTTTTATTCATCCATTGACTTTCTTTTGGATCAAAGAGTTCCAATTGACAGATATTTCCAAATGATCTCCACCAAATTTAAATAATTGGTTATTCGTGTATTTTAACAAAACAGCCCCATTTTGTTTGATATCCCTCTAATATTAAAATAAGTTTTGATCTGTGAAAAGCATACATGGTACTTGACTCAATAATATATTTACATATGAGATAACTTTCTATGTAAAGATACAATCCAAGGGCTTTCAGTGCTTTTGAATTTGGAAACAAGAATCTTCAATTAAACACACTTGGGACCATTACCTCTTGCAGTGTCCAAGAATCAGCAATAAAGAACTTTATGGTACACAAACTGATTATTATTTAGTACACAAACTGATAATAGATTTTTTGCGTTATACTGAAATCTTTTTTGATTTCTATGATGCATAGACACAAAGATTTTACAAATTTTGCAATGAACAGGTCATATTACCATATTTTATTTATTTGGTACTGGGCCTACTCCTGGACTGATGGCTATATAACAAGTACAACCTGGATAGGTACCTCAATTATGGACCTATATTTGTTTGAAAAAGTGATATGTGCTAGGAATAAGGTCTTATCACTAGTGAAATGTAGCATACATTAATTAGTCTTTTTTTAGGTCACCTGAGCTTTGCCCCTAAAGATCACAGGGGAATTATTTAAATGGTAAATTTCAGGACCCACGAGCCATCCCTTCTCCCTGTGGGAGGGGGTAAAGTTTACTATAGTTTGTATAGAATTCCTGCCCCATCCCCAGGGGCTAGGGCGGGGCCCCAAAGGGAACATTAACCAATATTTTAAAATTCTTATCCTTTGATGACATGACAAGTATTGTATTTCACTTAGTTTACATGCTGATTTCCACATCACATTTAAATAATAAAATAAAGCTACCAGTACCTATGATATTACTATGACCGCTAAGGCCCTTGGGCCTCTTGTTTTAATTATTATTTATCAGATTTTTTAAATTATAGGTATGTAAAGATGAAAAATACTGAAAGTATAAAACCTGCTGTAGAGGCAAGCATGAGGATACTCATGTGTACTGTTCACAAAGATCCCGAGTGTGTTTAACTGAAACAGACATTGTTATAATGATGTTTGTATGAATGTAAATACTTTTTTTTAGTAAGATAAGGTGTGAATTTTGTTTATATACATAGTAAATCATGCATTCTACTACTGGTTTAAATTAATGTTATTGTAAAATTGTACAGTTCTTTGTTCATAGACAGATTTACAAAAGCCTAACAGGTTATACGTTAATGTAGAATGTGTTCATGTCCTTATTTAATAGTTTTTATGACGACATGTGTTAAATGTTAGTGATGGCATAGCTGTCAGTAATCTTTTTCTACCCTGGTTATATAGATGGACCTCTAGGATTGTTAGTATCAGATTTAGCCTGTTTTTATGAGGACATTGATGTATACTGAACACATGGTAAAGTCTGTGAGTAGCTGTTAAGATGAGGTTAGAATGATATTGTAATACTTGGTGAACGTGTTGTGATGGACTAGCATCATGCTGTGGTTAACATACTATAACTTCAGGTGTGTAAACCTTTAGGCCATATCCCCTTAAATAGTTCTTCAACTTGAGGTAGGCTGCTTCTTGTACTGCAATATAATCTCTTCTCATTACTGCAAGAGGTAGCCCTGAGAATTATTTAGTGGGGACAGGTCAGCTATCAATTCAGGCACCAGTGACTAGTGTGATAGGATGTTTATATATATGAATGGGTGTACCATTTATAGAAACCATGTATTAAGCCTTTGCTCACCAACTCGCATACATAATAAGTTTACAGTGTATCAAAGAATGTTAAGGTTTTAAAGTCAGAAGTTGAGAACTTTACTGAAGCATTTGGGCTATCAAGGCATGTTTCAGTAATAAAGTCTGATATCCATACTCTATACTGAGCAAGCTGAAACTTCAATTGGCTTACATCTGATGATCAGAATTAGTAGGGATACATACAACTAATGTTGTGTAAGTACCATATTGTATGGTTACACATTAGACAGATTTCACGATACATTATGTACCCATGTAATGTAATATTTGTTTGCAATTTTAAAAACAGCAAGTCACCGACAGAAACCGGTTCAATTATTTAACACTTCAACTGTATGGTTTTTTAATGTCATTCAAACTTGCTAAACACGGCTGCAATATCAAAGATAGAAGGAACTTGTAAAATTCAGTTAATAGTATGTAGGCATTTTATCACCTGTAAGTTTGAAGTCCGGCTGTATGTGGTAACTTGAAAGTTAAGTACTATTGTTTCTTGTATAAGTAATGTGGATTTCACAATCAATTATATTCACATGTTTCTTTGTTATCAAAGTATAACTTCTCTAAATGAGGATTTCAATTTATGTTTCCTGGAGAGGAAAGTACTGGGTTGTAACCCTTGGTTATCAAAGACGCTGACAATGTAATTAAGTGGATTGTTGACATTGACTATAAATAGTGGTGAGATGGAGAATATTGCCACAGGTGGTTAATATGGAGAACCTCAAGTATGTTTTGTATTAATGTGTTGCAAGAAATGTTTGAAAGGTGTGTGTGTGTGAGGGAGAGATTATTTATTGTACCCGAGTCCCACACTATATGGGGCATTAATAGAGATGTAATGTACAAATATCATGCTTCATGTCACAGGCACAAGAACAACTAAATTCACAAATGATAATAAAAAAAATATTTAAAAATATCCTTTGATTAATATACATACTTGATTTATAAAGGTTTTCAAACCCAATTCCTTTCGAAAATTGAAATTTTACATAAACTATAATATATTTTAAATCAATCTTTGAATCTTTTTAACAAATTACATATGTAAACTAACTATTTGTACTTTCGTGGTTGTTGTGAAATGTCACAAGCAATCCTATTTAAAGTTCTTTAAGTCTTCATTCTATATAACTGATGTTACAGCTAAATAGTGCTATAGATCAGGCACACGGCAGTTATCACCCCCTTTTGTTCTCCAATTCCAACAAGAGCGTTTATAATTTGACATCTTAAGAAACAACAAAGAGAGACCTAAGATTCCTTGAATGATAACCCTCTGCAAGGGAAGCGATCTAAGTTATCTATTGATATTTTTGCTTTACAAAGTACTGACATTTCAATCTGGGTTAATTATAATTCACTTGTACTTTTACAGGTGTCGTGTTAAGCACTAAGGTGAGGGAGGATGTTTTAGAAAAACTCATTGTTATACATGTAAAATAAGAGTCATCATCCTGATGAACTCATCTCAAATTTTCAACTCTTCCATTTCTGAAATAAATCTGTGGAAAACTGAAATGTTTTGAGCTTTTTATAAACATGTTTTGTCATCAATAAGATGTCATAATGGGTGCTAACTTTCAAAATTAACAAATAATTGGTCATCAGTCGAAAAGAACTTCTTTAGATAGCAAGATCCATGTTAACATACGATTACGACAATCGTTCTATCAGTGACATTTGAGGACGAATGAAAACGTACACGTAAACGAGATAGATTCCTGCACTACATATAGTGATAAAAAATCAGTTGCATTAATTCAGAATCAAATTACTAGCTGTTCTCGTAATCAGTTCCAAAATTATCACATACATCTTAGAACTAACAGGAAACTACTTTTGAAATTGGAGAAAGATCTATTTAGTGTTTCTTGAGAAAAGTAATATCGAGAATTAAGGACAATACAACGGACAAAAGGCAATTTTAACATGCAGCCAACCATCTTACAGTAGTGGGCTTAAAATATAACCAAGAGAGATTTTGACCTTTGAACCTAAAGCATCATTATAACATTTGTAAATTGTATCTTGTCAATCACACTGTTTGAAATGACCTAGTAGTTATGTTAAAGTTGAGGAGACCTACAGTTGTTATAAAAAAAGTGGGTGGTGCAGTGGATAGCGCCTTTCACCAAGGCGGCCGGGGTTCGATTCCCCTATCGGACATGAAAAGTTATGGGGTCACCTGTCCGACCACATGGGTTTTCTCCGGGTACTCCGGTTTCCAACCACATTAAGACCCCTGCGCACTAACATCCGGGCCAACAAGAGTGATTAATATAAGTTGACAAAACATGTTTCATAATTGTTGTAAAATACACAAAGTTCATATTATATAAGAAAAGTGAGGAAAGCTACAGTAGTTTTAGGAGTGAAGAAAGTTAAAGTTGCAGGAATGAAGAAACATCAATAGATAAGGAATACAAAAACACAAAATGTTATTAAAAGTTTTAATTCTTACATAGATACAAAATCACATTTAAAATGAAATGGACAGGATTACACATAAACAGTACCATTTACTGAACTTTCTTCTGTACTCTCTGATCCAAACATCATTCGTCTTCTGTACTCTCTGATCCCAACATCATTCGTCTTCCACTCATGTTTCTCTTTCTATTTTAATATTCTCTTTCTCTTCATTGTACTGCTGCGACTACACATTCCTTCCTTTCACTCGTATGAAAATGAAAATTGCTTTCAAGTGGTTCTCTTATTCTGTCATGAAAAGTTCATCTACTGCCCAGTCCTCAAAACTTCCATCAGGAAGATATCGTCTAATGATGAGTGGAACCTTTCTCGCTCTGAAACAAAAACAGGACGTTCTTAACACAGCCATCCTAGGATACACATATAAATAGATTCAAGAATCCATTGGAAAAATCGAGAACTTTTGGTTGTAAAAATATGCATACATCAATAAATATAACATACATGGAAATAAGATAAGATAAACTCATACATTAAGATAACATACATTGTTTAATGCTTGTAATTAAAACAAAAACACTCAAATCAGATTTTTCGAGTACTGCAAGAAAAATTACTCCTGGAGTAATTGGCAATAAGCAAGCCTATAAGCTAACTCTAATGAACAGTCATGTTATTGGTGGCTGCTTACAGGCTCACTAGTCTACTGTTCATAAATATGGTAAACCTCCGGTCAGTTCGAATCGGTGGATAGTTCAAACATATTTTTTTCAATAAAAACAATTATTTTCTAGCTAGTGATAGTTCAAACTCTGATTGACCCTATTTCGGATAGTCCGAACTTGCCTAATGAAGCATGTACATGTAAAGTAAGATTTTTTACCGGCAAACTCCATTGAAAGCTCGCGGCGATCGGCCCCGGAAAAATGCCAATACTTTGATCAACAGAAACGTTTAGGGTAATGGGTTGTATGTATGAGCATTACAGTACAGCTGTGACAGACAAACCATAAATATATGTCACAGATTTTAGCGTTGATTCATTTTTTTACATTGTTTGGCCCTGACAATGTATAAATAACATGCGACAGTACGAACTGGTGTCACGCTGTATGGCAAACGTAGTTCACTGTGTTATTATAAATTTTACCTTTTTATAGATTCATAGTTCAACATCCTATTTCTACTTAATTAACCATCCAAATATTTCTTTTCAATATTTAATATAAAGTGGAGGTCACAACAATTGACAATGCCAAATAAAACATGTTGATTTTGACATGTACAAAACAGTAAAAACCAAGAAGATCCATAAAACCGAAATATTATTTGTTATACTACCTACCTACCAACAAACTTCAGCACAGGTAAATATTTGCCATTAAATCTATATAACGTTCCAGTTTTAATTCTGACCCTTACATGTAAATACATCTATAGTAAGTCAGGAAGAGGCCATATAAGTTGTGAGAACTTGTACTCAATCCCTTTGATTTTTATCAACAATAAAATGTGTTTTAATAAATAAATTACGTACTTATACCTAATGACATGATGAATTCGCGCTCACAGACGTGGAAAGTTCAGCTGAAGTGAACAGTTTCCAGTACACAGGAATATATTTTTGCATATAATTACAGTAAAATTACTCTCAAGGAATTCATATTTAAGCAGTCATAGCAAAATATTCTCATTAAATATTATATTGCACTAAAAATAATTCCCTTGCAAACTTTGTTGGCTCCATCTGTTGAAACTACCAGCAAAATATTATTACAAGATTCTATGCTTTTTGATTCTTCAGAAGTTGCTTGACATATTTTTTCCTGTGACCTTGTAAGTAGGTCAATGTCATTTTCCTTCTCAAATTGGTTAGCTCTATTCCAAAAAGCTACCAGCCAAATCTTATGAATCCATTCCTTTTAGTTCTTGAGAACAAATCCATTAAAATGTTGTTGACCTCTGTGACCTCTAAAGTAGATTGAGGACATTTTCATTCGCAAACTTTGGTGAGTTCTATCCCAGGAAGTCACCAGCCAAATATTATAATTTTATGCCTTTTAATTCTTCAGAAGTAGTATGAACTGTTTGACATATTTGAACGCTGTGACCTTAAAAGAAAGTCAAGGTCATTTTCATTCGCAAAATTTGTTTGGCTCTTTCCCAGAAAGGCACCTGCCAAATGTTAAGATTTTATACCTCTCAGTTCTTCAGAAGAAGTTGTTCTAAGCATTTAACATATCTGACTCCTGTGACCTTGAAAGTAGGTCAAGATCACTTTCATTCGCAAACTTTGTTGGGCTCTTTCCCAGGAAATAACCAGCCAAATATTAAGGTTCTATAACTTCCAGTTCTTCATAAGAAGTTGTTTGAAGTGTTTGACATATCTGCCTCATGTGACCTTAAAAGAAGGTCAAGGTCATTTTCATTATGAAACTTTGTTAAGCTCCATCCCAGCAAGCCATCAGCCAAATATGAAGATTCTATACCTTTTAGTTTTTCAGAAGAAGCCGTTTGAAGTTTTTGACATATTTGACCCCTTGTTACCTTGAAAGTAGGTCAAGGTCATTTTCGTTCTCAACCTTGTAGGGCTCCTACCAACAAAGCTCTCAGCCAAATATCATGACTCTAGGCCTGTCCGTTCTTCAGAAGAAGTTGTTTAATGGAAAAAGTTGACGGACACGGACGGACGACGCACCACGACATAAGCTCACTTGTTCTTGCCTCATTGGCTTGTTTTAAACATTTTTATTGTAATTTGTATATCCTGTTTGTCCCACTGGTCCCCAAAGAAGTCAGACATTTCATGACTGATATGGTATTAGTTTCATCCCCACCATGCAGTGCAAACATCATTGTCATGAATACCTACTTTAATTCTTTCATGGCAATAAGCAAAGGATCAGTTTCTCCTTCCAATTCTACCATCACAGGTGCACACATTCTGAAATAACACGATAACATCAGTTACATTCACAATTTATACAAATATTTCTACATGCACAGTTTTATGATTAAGCAAAACTGAAATTCCTCACACTAAACAAGCATACTGAGTATTGCTAAAGCAATACATGTCCCCTACCGGCCCCCGCTAGCAATTACACTGTAATGATTTATAAACACGGTGCCCTTTGGTGTTAATTTGGGAAAATGAAAAGTATACAATTAGCTTGCAACTGATTTTAATGTAATTTTTCTATTCTACATTACCATCAATCATATTGTAGAAAAAAATCAAAATAAATGATTTTCCATGTATACTGTATATTACCTGGTACATACATATTTGACACTTTAAATTCACTAATGAACCGATTATATCGATTATGGAATTTGTTATCTATAATCGGAATCGAGTCTTCAATTTGTCCAGGATTTTGTATTAATAATAAGGGTGGCCTTGACCTCAACTCTACAACCCTGAAACTCAAAACTTGTCCGAAATTATGGTCCTTTGTAATTGTATGAAGTTTGATCCAAATCCCTCAAGGAATGAAGCCGCTAGAGTGCTAACAAGGATTTTCTAAAAATAGTAATGGTGACCTTGACCTTGACCCGACAACCCTGAAACTCAAATGTGTCCGAGATATTATGGTCCTTTGTAATTGTATGAAGTTTGATCCAAATCCCGCAAGGAATGAAGCCGCTAGAGTGCTAACAAGGATTTTCTAAAAATAGTAATGTGACCTTGACCTTGACCTAACAACCCTGAAATTCAAACTTGTCCGAGATATTATGGTCCTTTATATTTGTGTGAAGTTGATTAAAATCCCTCAAGGAATGAAGCCGCTAGGGCGCTGACAATCATTGGTGTTATGTATGTATGTACATACGTAAGTACACAGACGGAAAGGAAAACTATAGTCCCCCGGTCTCACCGGTAGGGGCCTAAAAACAAGAGGCCCAGGGGCATAAACAGCTAACATGCAGTAGTGTTTGTGTGAATGTTAAGTTTGCATAAATGTATGTTTTTTCAGCATAAATGATAGAATTTGTGATCCTACTTCATTTATAAATGAACGTATGTTCAAATAATCTTCAAATAAAGCACTTTCTAGCACTGTCCATCTGACATTAAACATGCTTTATTATAATCAGGTTTTTAATATTTTAACATACGTAAAATCCAAGGAAACCGACTGGTGCCCATCTTGAATTTTGAGAATAAAAAATTTGATGGCACTATTTCTCAGAGTGTTGTAGTTATCTTTCTCAATTGTCATATGTAGGTTCCCACTAGTTGTGCATGATTCATTTTGAGACCAATTGGAAAATCAGGATTGTCACCGGACAGCCATCTTGAAATTTGACTGTTCAATTTTGTTATCACTATTTCTTCATGATACTCCACAGATCTGACACTGTATAAAGTTTCCTGTTCATGTTTTATTTTGAGGCTGATCAGAAAAACTAAATGGTTGCCAGACAGCCATCTTGGATTTCAACAGTTCAGTTTGTTATCACTATTTCCAAAGAAGTACTCGAGAGATATTTCTGAAATTTAAATTTAGTTTTTACTTGATACATATGAAGTACATGTTTAGTGCTAATAAATAAGCCAAATGACACCCACACTTTGTCATACACAGCAGTATCAGGCTTTGATCAAAAGTTACCACAGGTGCATTTACTGTTTACAGGACTCAATCCACCAGATAGAGAAAAGATCAACCTGACACAGTACCTGTGAAGATGGTACAATGGTGGGAGCCAAGATCTCTCTGGGATCTCTTGTTAAGATTGTTATTGTTCTTTAGTGTGTCATGTCAATTTTGGAAAGTGCTTCTTTTATGTTTCGTAATATGCAAAGACAAATTTTTAAAAATATAGCAAACTAATTGTTATTTCCAATATTACATACGCTATCTGAAGTGCTCTTGTCCCAAGGACTCTTGCTCTCTCATATTTAGTCAAGTAAGGTGTAGTGATCCTCTTCTCGGGTGGAACTGCCAGCCCCGCATCAGAGGACAGCACTTCAACTTGGTCTTGTGGCTATTTACATTCAAGTATGAAAGAATAAATTAACAAGAGGCCCATGGGCCTTAACGGTCACCTGATATATTTATACAGAGAGTTGATTTTGTTTTTAACATGTACAGAAATATTATTCAAAGTGACAAAAAACAATAAAACCACCTTATTCAATATCTAGCATACAGATTTAAGACTAAAAAGTATTTGAAACTAGCACCTCTGATTCTAAACAAGGAAAATGAAGAAATTTTAGCACACTGACTCCTTTGGGCCCCACCCTACAGCCCTTGGGGGTAGGGCTGGCTCAAAATTTTCAAAGTATCAAACTGTCAACTCAAGGTTATAATTCCAATCAAGTTATTAACATGTAATATTCAAAGTATCATTTGCCATTATAAACCATAATAAATTTTGCCCCCCCCCCCCCCCTTCCCCAGGGGATAAACGTGAGACCCTAGGGTCATAAACCTTAAGACCCTTCCATCTATGAAGAGTATTTGATTCTACCATATCTGGGTCTTGAGAAGAAGATTTTTGAAATTTCAGTAAATTCAACCCTTTTTGGCCCCACCCATCAGCCCCTGGGGGTCAGTCAGGGCTCATAGGTGCATACTATCAAACTGCTACCTAATACTGATAATGCTAACCCAAATTGAATTACTTCCAATGGAAATTAAACAAATGTTGGTCCAAAATGTGATTTCCCTATATAAACTATAGTAAAGTTTACCCCCTCCCCAGGGGGAAACGTGAGACCCCAGGGTCAAGAAATTCACAATTTCGGTAAAGCACCTTAAGACCCTTCCATCTATGAAGAGTATTTGATTCTACCATATCTGGATCTTGAGAAGAAGATTTTTGAAATTTTAGTCAATTTGACCCTTTTTGGCCCCGCCCCTCAGGCCCCTGGGGGCTTGGGACTAAACCGGCAACCTTTTTTGTTGACCTTTGTCCATGGAAGGTTCCTGCAAAATTTCATTGAAATTGGTTCAGTGGTTTTGGAGAAGAAGTCGAAAATGTAAATTGTTTACGGACGCACGACGGACGACGACGGACAAAAGGCGATCGCAATAGGTCACTTGACACTTTGTCTCAGGTGACCTAAAAAGTCATTGAATTTGAATTAATTTACTCATTTTTGTCGTAGATACAACATTTTTGTCAAGGAAGAATTGAGTCCTTTGAGCTGATATTTTGTTTAATATTTTCCTTAATTTTTTTAAGGTTTTCAACATTACATTACACTTAACAGATATTTCAATCTCCCATTCCCACTCTTTTGAAAAACTTTCTTTGCTTTGCCATTATACAGTTGAGACAGTTGTATTAAGATTTATGTAATGAAACACTTCTAGTAAGATACATTTAATACTCATGTAAAATATGATGAACAAGAAATATCTTGAATACGATAACTGCCAAAATCAAAATGATGAAATTTGAAAACTTGCAATTTTGAATCACCGCTGTTTTTCTACCTAAATTTTATAGTAGCCCATGTTGCCTGAACTTTTTTGCTTTGGAAAGAGGCGAGTTTTTTGGCTGTAAAACTGGACAAAAATAAAAACAAAACGAAATCTACAATATGGAAACAGAAATGTTGACCTTTCAACATCTTTGAAGAGATTAAAACCTGGCCTGTATATTTCAGCATTGGGATCACCACATAGGGTCTGTTCCGAATTGGACATCTACTTTACATCATTGAAAGCTTAATTAAATTTCCTATTTTCCCCATACTTACCTGACTGATAGGTTCGTCCAGAGGTTCTTCATCTTCTACTTCTTCTAAATCCTCATCAAAACTGTAAATAAAAGCAAATGAATTTACTTTTAATCAGAAGATTTTTTGAAGGTGGTGTTTCATTACCGTTTCCAAAACTTTCATCTCTGATCAATTACTACAAGAGAAAATATCATGGGCAGCCATAAATACCGGTACCTTCCATGTAACATGTCTACATTGCTGCATATATCTATACCTATTTGTTCCATGGCTACATCCTCTAGGTGGGTGAGTGGGCAGTCTCCCCCATCACAAGATATTTTCCATATCTTTCTACATGGCTTACCTTTTCTGGTCCACTTCATACTTAAAAATTCTACAGCTTCTGGAAGGCTTCCCTCACTACGCCCCCACCCCCTCCAAAAAAAATCCCAACTCCCAAAATTTATGTATATATGTTACGAACTGAACTTGGTCGATCACCAGTAACCAGGTAAGCTCAATTGGTCAGAATGTTCATCTATAGTTCGGAGGGTCCAAGGTTCGAAACTTAGTCTTGCTGTTCATTTTCTCACTCCTACAACATTTGGCGTCCAATAAATATACCCATGGAAGGTGGTATAGGGTCTTGTGTGTCTTCGGGGTCGAAGACTTTGGTAAAGGAGGGAGGAATGTAGCGGAACTGGACTGGGTTGATTGCTGGCGACCAGGTAGGCCTAGCTCAATTGGTCAGTGTCTATCTAAGATTTGGGAGGGTCCAGAGTTTGAACCCCGGTCTGGCCATGCCTTTTTTCACTCCTACTACATATATATACTTATACATAAATTGGGTCTTTCAATCCTCTACCCAAATCAGCTTGGACATGCATTTAATATTTCTTATTGTAGATTCTTATGTTCTTACAGTACCTAAAGCTCTCTTAATCAGATATTTGGGTACTGACACATTTACTTAGCTGTCAGTTACATAGTTCAATAGATGCTTCAGTCATCGTTTAAAGGGACAATTTAGTGAAGTAAGTTTTTTTGATTACCTGAAAATCAAGTCGATACTGAAAATATATATCTCCTAACTAAAGTTCACGTAGTTGATAATGACATGACCTGAAGCCAACATCCAGTGTGGTCAGTTTCATCATTTGGGAAAGCCGGTGATAAAAAAAGCTACGACCGAAATAGTGCAATATCCGGGCCTTTCAGTGAGAAGCACTACGCTATCATTCGAGAATGCAGTGTCAGTTATGAGTCCAAGTTCACCCATAAAACATTCTGGAATTTACACAATAAATTACGGTTAAGAATTATAAGTATCATAATATATACCTCTAATCAGATATTTCTGTTAACATTTGGATTTGAATAAAAACAAACAGGTTCAAAGAGCATGCATGCACAGAGAGGGTGCCGCAGGGAGAATTTCAAACCGCAGAAAGTATGATATCAATAAGTTTATAACAATGTTTTCGATGCTGTTGGAAGATGATTTTTATTCAGAATAGATGCATAGACTTGTTTTCAGAGAGGCTAGGCAAATAAAGCCAGATGTTACCTTCTCTCCTCGGCTGGAAAGACATTTTTGTTAGCTAGAAATTCACCAACAGCTGCCGCTACGGTACGTTTGTACGGTTAAGGATTTCTCCAATACTGATTAAAAACGCCAAGTAAAGGGAGTATCAAACTATATAATCATGAAGAGTTTTGTGACAAAGTTATAAAAAAAACATACTTCACTAAATTGTCCCTTTAAATACACCTAAAATTTATCGGGTCTGCCGAGTGAGCTATATAGCTGTAAAGGATATTTTTTTGTGCACAAATGTACTTCATTGTGTTATTTATTTGATTTAGTTGACAGAATGACGCCCTTTTTTGCTCCAAGTGTTTAAAAGTACTTTGTGTGTTTTATTTCACTTTATTCCCCATTTCAGTAATAAAATTGTTATTGAAATGGGTAACTGTTACCCAAATGCAGGATTATTACCCATATGTTGTGCCCAAACTGTTTATAGCTATATAGCTCAACCTAGCTATTCGTTATAAATCTCTGATTTAGATAGAGTTCCTTCCTACAGGAATTAGCTATTCTTTCGCTGTAATCTACATCGTTTTAAGCTTTTTTGCTAATGTGTAAATCGACACTTGTATTGGGTAGTATTAGGTTGTATTGGGTAAATCGACGCGCCGTTTTCTTTCAAATAGAAAATGACGTGAAAATAGCTCAAAAGAACAATTTCAGATAGGTCGACACAGCTATGGTCTATAGCTATATCGGTGTACTGAACCTACTTTCAAAATGTGATGAAGCATGGCATGCCCATTGTGCAATTATCTAAAAAGTGACAAACGGAACGCCGTACATCAACAACGAACATATATCTTTTGAAACATGAAGATAAAGAGTTGGTAAAGTAGTCAATATAAATATATTTCTGTGTTAATAAGAGTATGAGATGTCGGTTAACTGCGAAAAATCGACTGAACATACTTGTCGCCTTCGTCGTCCGCCATTTTTCTATTGATGTCTGTGTTGTGTAAACGCTTAAGTCTTTATCAATGATCGCTTGACTCGTACAGAAAACTTTTCGACAAGATGCAGTATGCACGACAGCTTCTGTATTAAAATGTTCCAGTACTGTATGTCAACAGTAAAAGTAATTCCAGAGTCTGAAATATATACATGCACAAGTAGATCTAATTTTTACCACTTTTCTTTAGCTCGACTTTTAGACATTAGCCTATTTAAGACATAATGGTCAAATATCACCACCAAAATTGAAATGAACTGAACCTGTTCACAAATGTTGATTTTCCTTTGCTGAGCAGTAGCATACCATCTCCTCTGTTTTAGTAACTATATAGACTGCATGAATAGAGGGTGCTATCCAAATCCGTGCTGTATATAAATATTGCTATTTTTGTCTTTTCAAACTGCCAATATGATTTACTTAAGAAAAAGGCTGCTTGTCAGTGTTGTCTTTGACATGATTATATATATAATCATGTCAAAGACAACACTGACAAGAGGAAAAACTTCCTAAACACGCAGATTTAGACAGAACCCGATAGCCGGAATACTGTGATAGAGTTTAGTTAGTTGAATATAAGGTTCATTATCAATACGTTAGATGAAAGTAAAAAAAATGATTTTCAGAATTTCAAAACTTTATAAGGTTCTTGGCTAACTGCCACTTGGACTTAAATCCCAGTTGGACATCTAATTTTAAGGAGTTTGTGAGGCCTGCTGTTGTTGTTCATCTCCTTGTCTTAGTCGTCATTGATATGTTGTCTGTATAGATGATACTGTATTTATTTTTTATTATTGAAATTATTAAACAAGATCACTAAATAAAACCTAGATGTGCAGGACAATATGGCAGAGTTCAATTAAAAGGGGATTATCATTCATATTCATTTAAATAGAAACAAAAAAGAAATCATCTCCCTTCTGCTGAACTTTGATCAGCTGTTTAAGATGTAAATGAGGATGTGTTATTGCTCTGGAACTTTGGGTGGGGCAGGGGAGTTTTAATCAGCCTTATTGGTACCATTTGAATCCCAAACCATAGTCTGCTCCCAAGTTTGGTTAAAATCTCCCATGGGATCAGCAACTTGATTTGTACAAAATTGAATCCATATCTTTTAATATTTTAAATTTGGTTGAAATCTGCCCAGCAGTTCAGGAGGTGTTGTTTACATCATTTGTGGGTAAATAATGGTGGAAGCTTGTTTTGGACCTTTGAGACAGGCGATCTGGATCTGGTGACCTTGAAAGTCAAGGTCATTTGTGTGCAGAAACTTTACAGCATTCTGTTCCGTGATTATCAGTAAATATCTTGTACACAAGCTTTTTACCCAAGAGGTCAGTAAAGTATGACCTTTGACTCTTTAGCCTTGACATTTGACCACCAAAATCTAACCTGACGCTGGGCATCTGATGACAGACAAAAATGGATAGCAACAGTTCAAATGTATATTTTCTAAAAAAAACATCATACATTAAAATGTCCATCACACAATGACAATCTTAAGATAAACAAAACAATGCAGATCAAATATTTCATCAGTTTAATATAGTCTTGTATTTATCATACATGTACATCTGAATGGATATCTATGATCAGACAAAATAAACACTTTTTTGTTGAAAATTTACAATGCTTCATCATTCGTCACACCTTTTTGTAACTTTTTCATTATCAACAAAACGTGTGATTTATTATATCTACAATGTCTGCAGTTTTTAAAATTTCTTTTCCCTGGAATTGCATAATATATATATATATTTATAACACACTGACCATTGGTCACCAGTCTGTCCCTGTTCCCTGTTCTGTACATAGAAAGACAGGATATAAAAAAAAGTATTAAAACTTGTCCACATCATAAACATCGACTCGAGATTTCAGCTTCTAAAGCTGCAAATCTCAAGAATGGGTAATACTATACTCAGTGTAAAATCACAGGCAACTGTTGCGCTAGTTACAATTGGAGAGACAGGTAGGGAGAAACAATAGGAAAGAAGGAAAAACAATTACAGGCTGGCCATTATAAAACAAGTCTGAATAAAAACTCAAAATAACCAAACTCAAAGTATTAATGGTCAGATAAATGTAAGAAAATGGGAAAAAAAGTGGTAACAAATTTGATCACGAGATCAAATTAAGACTTTCAAGTCGACACACATGGCACGGCTACATCATTGCATTTCCAGGAATGTTTTCATTAGTATAAAATGATGCCAGAACTCTCATCAATGCTGAACATGGGAAATGAAGGGGAGGGGGATATGACTAAAAAAATATTCAATGCAATATCACATAAAATAATAATTTTACTACCATAAATTAATTACTGCTGAGATTTTTCCTATTTTGTTTTTGAAATACAAATGTAATGGGACTACTTTTGAGCAACTTTTGCCTTCAAAGTGTTTTTGATTGATATTGTTTTTAATGCCAGTTAACATATTGATTTAACTGTAACAAGAGTATTTTCTATATTTCAGTGCAGGTTGTTTTTCAATCAGTATTAATATTTTAAAGATCATGTCAGTACACAATGCCATTCATAAAAGATGATTCATAGACATAATGGAAAGGTATAATTTATAATACATAACTGTATAGTGATAAGAGTTTGCCCTGATTACCCACACAAACTTATAAAATATCAGATATAGCGGGACAAAACACATAGCACTATAAAGTAGATATGTTATATTTGTTTTGTTTTGTTAATTTGACCAGCTCAAAACTTTCTGGCTCAATAAAAGCTTAACTACGAAAATTTAATTATACACTGTACTATATCTTCTATAGAACAGAAAATTGAGTGTTGTCAACTTGACATTTGTCAATTAGAGAGGAGGTATGTTTAAAGTCACTACACAAATTCTGTTGCATAGTAAAGTAATAAATACTACTTAACCACTGTAACTTAGTACAACAAAAAGATGTAAAAGTCCAAAGTAAATGATAGTAAAGTAATAAATACTACTTAACCACAAACACTTGTAACAAATTAAAGTCGAAAGTACATGACAAAAATAAATCATGGTAAAACAGGGTCCTCAACATTCTTTTTGTTCTCTGTATCTTTGGTTTCTAAGCTTCGTAGAAGCACTCACACTAGATAGAACTCAACATGTTCACAGTATACCACAATATTGTACCATTTCCAACTTTTTGTGGAATAACGAGCATTGATTTTTCTACTTTTAGCAGGTTCTTTGTAAAAATTTCAAAACATGGAAACTGCCATATTCTGAGTTTGTTTACTGAGCATGGCATTTCAATATCTAGGACAGAAAAAAGATGATGTATCATTTCAGTTGCTTTGTAAGTGCAACACTAGTATAAAGCTAGTGCAAGATAATTATCAAGACTTGAGTGGGTTTTTTTTAACTTTACCCACTGTTGCCATCAACACTTGCTATTCTACAATGTTGACTCTCATCTACACATTTCCATTTTGTATTTATCTAATTGTATAATCAATATCTCAACCGTGCATCAACACAGGAATGTCAATGCAATGTATTTAACATTCAGCTTCATATTATTTTAATACAGGAAAGGGGTAGTAATGCTAGGACTACAAGTATTAATTTTGACACAATCTCAAAATCACATCGTTTAAAATCTTTTCAAATAAAAAAAAATCTTGGCCACAAATGTGTCCGAGATATAAACCTGTTTATGTACAATACGCTGCAGCACCTAATCATATTAGAACAGTATTATCATCAGAGAATATAAAACACACTTGACACTACTGGCTACACCTTGGCTTTACAGCACACAGGTTTAAGGTTTTAAGTTAAAGCATGCACTTGTTAAATGGTAAGACTGGTCACAACTCGTTTGGAATTTACATGTAGTCTGCCAATGGTAGGTTAACAACGGCAATACTATAGAGTAAAACTTCATCACCAACCAACCACTTCAATCCCCTGTATAGATGGAATATCCAGGATTCTATACACGATACCCTTTTTTCACCAGTCTGCTTGTATGAAGATCAATTTATTTAACTGTTTGGATTTTCACTCAAACAAAAGAGCAACATAAAAATGACTCGTTGATATCCTTGCACATTTTCAGTCCCTGAGGTATAAATATGCAGTGAGAATTTTCCACAGTGTAACCAGATGGCTGTGCAAGTATACAACCTCCAATAAGATAAAGCAGATGAAATAGGAACCATTGTGCAAGGTTCCTGCAGGGACATCTGATGTCCAACAGACTTTCCCAAGGATGAAAAGTATTGACTCTCCCACCATGGATGAACTGTAAGAATGGGCGTCTTGTGTTTCAGACATGAATGACAGTGACCAGCACAGCTCATGTTTAGTCAAAACAAGTGAGGGACAATGGCGAATAACACAAGACTGAATTCTTTATTACATCATTGAAACCTAGTCACCTCAGAAGTTTTAGGAAGGATGAATAGTGACCAAGTGAAGGAGTCAAGGCATTAGCATGAAACGGCGAGATATATATCGTTAATGATCAGTCCTCAGTAATGATAGTGACAAGCATACAATTCATTTTTTTTTGTGTGTAAGTAATCTCATTAATCTAGTAATCATCATGTAAACAGCTGAACACTGCTTGTAAAACAGTAGCCAGTATGGCTTTAAATCACCGGGACCCGGCTCAACAGCATTCCGTATCAAAATCATTTTTTGCACATAATTAGAAACATATTCTGATAATTAAGACTAGTCCATGCAATAACGGTTACCATTTGTGATTACTAAGTTTTGATGAAGATACAAAATGTAATCAGTGCATTGTTATCAATAATTATGGGATGTGGACTTGAGCCACTACTCAGGACAGGGTTGTGGTGTAGTATCCTATATGATGGTTATACTGTGTTGTTAAGGAGGAAGTGGCTATGGGTCAAAGATTGTGCACTACGAACAGTTTGACACTAATTACAAGAAAGAAACATATCACAACCTTGTTAATAATGGACCTTCTACCTAACACTTGAACATTATCATTTGATTAACATCTTATAAAACATGTCCAAATATTGAAACTTAACATCAGCTTTCCTCGACTTTTCACACAACATGTCTGTAGTTGAATACTTATACCTTTGAGAAACATCACTATGATGTATAAAATATATCTCAGATTAAGTTTAGGCATATTTTTAAGGGGAAAAATAAATCTGATATATATATTGCATTTTGCAATGTTGCATTTCAAGAACAGTGGGAAAAGAATTGTATTTCTTGTGATCAATACTCTAGTTATAATTTTTAAACAGTACTCTTTCCTCTCACAATCAGTACATGTCGAACTTGACATGCTTTCCTTCCCACACACATCCAGGCTCACACAGACAGGGAACAAATATCTACAGCACAATACCTTGGTACTGTTAAGTTGATTCAATAGAAACAATGCTAATATATTTCAATACACTACAATCTTGCACTCACACTGTCACCTTTACTTCAATAAATAGCATTTGTTCTCACCAGCACCGAACCAGGTCAGGGCTACAACAGCGATGCAGCACTGGTGACTACCCTGTCCTTGGTTAGGTAACATCCACTCCAAAGTACCATGAGAAATGAGAAGGTTGATGATGAGATGAATAATGACCGAATGCCCTGCCAGTAGTGAGCAAAGCAGCCCTAAGTTGTGTATACTGAGGCCAACCTAAAACCGCCTGGCCAAAAGTGTACAGTGATCACAGCTAGCTAGTGATTCAATTCACATAACATACAGACATCTGGCATGATGGCTCACCATACTAACCAGGTTCTAATCTCTGTAACAATAATTAGTTAAAACATGCGTCAAATATACATCAGTTTTGTCATCTCCTATTTTCATGAATATTTTAAGTTTATCTTGTTTAAAAATATTATTTTGGCAAGTTTCCACTACTCATTGTCAGCACAAACTTGTCTTTTAACGTCATGAGGTGGTATATGTACACAGCACCAACACAAAAACAGCAGACTGCAGCTGACCACTAGGAGGCGGTGCCCTTCCCAACACTGGCCTTCCTCAGATTACGAACAACTGCCACGTAGGGGACACTCAGTCCACCATTCCTCCTTCAGTGTCGCACATTCCACTCTCAAATGGCAATCAATCAACATAGGTCAATACTGATATCTGTATGATTCTTTGTTTGGTAGGTTAAGTATTGGTGACAGTTTAATCACTGAACACTGGGCATAGTAAGAGCCCATTTTTGTTAAACATCCCTTGTGAAGAGCCATTGAGTCCCATTGCTGCTGAGCAGTTCATTGGGTCTCGGCCAACATCACGGATCATACTGTGTAATTGAATTCTAAGGCTTTAATTGTGACATTTTGCTGCCAACCGATCACTGGTTCACATGCAGTTAGACCCTGTCTTCACTTGGAATCAAACTGGCCCATTCTGAACAACATTGGTAGCTGGGGAGGCACTGGGCAATGCACAGTCCTTCTTTTCTAGACAGTCTTTGGCCTGATTACTGAAACACAATAATGTAATAAGTTACCAAATATTTTCAACTTAAACGGTTTATAGGCTAGGGTATGAATATCCCTCATTTCGGGTGACCCAATCCAAATTTTGACCTTTGTAATTTAACTCAAGTGAAAATTTGCATATTAGGTACATCAGTAACTTTTACATTGTCTTACACCTTATACACACCATAACGTGATCATATAGTTTTGATATCAGAAAACTAATCCCTAGGAAACTGATTTTTTTTCTTCAATCCTCTGGCTATCAGTACTTAATTACTCTTTCAGTTTCACGCATTCCACTCTCCAATGGCTGGGACTCTTTCCCTCGGCTTCACCCTCGAAAAATAGCTCCAGCCTCAGGGCTGACCAACATGCCAACACCCCAAATAGCCAGGTGATAAACATATATTGGTACTTTGCCAAAAAAATTAGTTCGTAAATCTATGTAACGTTGAGATCTTTGAGATAATTATTACTTCCAGAAAAACAAACAATTTTACTTCGTTGAGATTTCATTGAAATATCTCTCTGGATTATTTTGCATTTGGTTTTGAAATGTTACACACCTGTTTTCCACTTGTTCCTGAGACAGACTAGCATGCTCCTCTATACACTGGGGTACATTTACTGGCCCATTGGTTCCTATATGGTCAGCGGTCCCCATAGCCTTCTGTGATGTGTCCTTGACACATCCAGCACTAGTCAAGACACTGGAACATCAATATACCAATCAATACATCTGCTCTTTCCAAAATAATTTATGTTGTGTCAAAGGAATACTACTAGAAATAGTAAACATCCGTTATGTATCTAAACATATAACACTAAATTTAGTACACATCCATTATGTATCTAAACATGTAACACTATATATAGTACACATCCATTATGTATCTAAACATATAACACTAAATTTAGTATACATCCATTATGTATCTAAACATATAACACTATATATAGTACACATCCGTTATGTATCTAAACATATAACACTATATATAGTACACATCCATTATGTATCTAAACATATAACACTATATATAGTACACATCCATTATGTATCTAAACATATAACAATAAATATAGTAAGTCAGCTGGTCTATAAAACTGTATGAAATCACACAGACCCATAGTCTTCGATGTTAGAAATAATAAAACTGAAGACTTGCAATGGTGGCCTACCTTGGACTGTCAGCACCTACAGCCTCCTCTGTTGATGATGAAGGTGTCTCCTCTTGCTTATTGCCACCACTGCCGTTGGTTTCTTTCTTGGTCTGGGACACGTCAGCCTCAACTGCCCCACTGTCACTCGCTACATCAGTTGTGGACGATGAAGGCTCCTCACTCTTCCCACTGGATGCAGGAAAAATATCAAAGTTAAGTTAATTTACCGATACAGCATCTAATTCCTTACCAGTTTTCTATACCTTGTTATTTTTGCAATACAATGCATTACTGCACCAACCCTTGATTCCTCATAAAATATCTGAACTCCACTATCACTATAATATAATTAAGGTTGCCAACTTCCTTGTCCTAGTAATGCAATAGTGTCACCTTGCCGGATATTTTTTTACAGTTATGACAAAATCTCTATGTTTTCTGGAAAAGGGTCATTTATATATAAATAGGATAATTGAGTTCACAACCTTGATTATATTTTAGGTATAATGATAGATGAGACCTATAATGCCTGTGATTTTATACAGTTAAAGGGTAATTATCTAGAGTAATACATCTAAACACCTAAAACTCTTTGCAGGATTAACTTACAGCACAAAATACGTTTATAAGCATTTTGTACAATCATCCTCCAAATAGAAATTTGAGACATTTGTTTTGTAGATAACTTCTCCATTTTATATCCAAAGTTGATCACATACCATAGCATAAAAGCTTCAATGTTGAGTTAAATACGGGTAAACAGTACGATTTATACCACAATTACATACACATAAATGACATGTGAATTTGCTGGTTTGTTCTTGTGATATTTGTTTCTGAATGATGATGCTTTTCAAAGTGTATCATGATCTGTGTTAAATCCATGTTTATTTCTAAGTGATGAAACAATATTTAAGTATGACATACCCGACTGTTGTGGTTTCTTGAGAGGATGACTGAGGGATTGCATCACTAGATGACGAAGGTGGAGAGCGTGGGGTTGTTGGAGCCCTCGGTGAGGTGACAATATCAGACGTGGATGTGACTTCGCTGCCTTGTACATGTTCCTCTGATGACTCCACTTCCAGATCCTCTGTCTTGATGTCGTTGCTCACCTGTTCTATAGATGATCCAAGGTCTGCTGGGGCACTTCTGGCCACTAAAATGAGGAAACGGGTACCAATGTAGGGACTTAACAAAACCATACACAAAGCAAAGGTGGAAGTGTAACCAACAGTATACATAATAATAGATAAGGATTTACACATAGGTTGTTGGATGCATACCTTACAGTATACATCATATCTAACAAGAGATAAAGATAAACAGATTGTCGGCTAATTTACAAGTTGATGGGTGGATACAAGTGTAACAGTATGTACCAATATTATTTAACAGTCAAATGAAATTTATAAATTGATGAATGGATATTTTACTTCCAACAGATAATTCTAACAAGATTATGTTGCATGCATGTTTAGATTAGATATGGACCATGCTCCAATCAGCCACAGGGCCATGGTTCAATCATCTTCAGCTCTACAAACTGCACACAAGTCACACCCTGTTTCTAATCAATACAACATGACAATTCTTGCATGATGGGCACTATATTTGATTGACGAAAACTGGATGATGAAATTACTGTATTTAACAGTGTGAATGCTCACATCTATAAGCCCCTTATTTCCACAGTGATCAAAAGTGACTTTTGACCCTTCAACCTTGACTGATGACCACCAAAATCTAATCAGGTGTCAAGTTAATCTTAATACTGTATAAATATGAGCTGAAATTTGTTGAGAGATTCATAAAGGTTCAATGTACACAAGATTTACTACGGACGCACTAACCAAGAGCAATTACTAAATAACTCCAACAAAGTACCGGGCATAATGACAATTCATAAATGGGTGAGAAAATATTTTAACTCATTCACCCCTGAAACTTCATAATGAACTATTCCAACCTTTGAATTGGATGAGTTCAAATGTGTCTTCAGGAGTGAATGAGTTACCTTGCAGTATGAATTGTCGAACAGATAAATGGACATGCATGTACAACTTACAGTATGCAGCAGGCCGAGAATTGACATCAGTAGTATCCATCTCCACAGGAGAACTACTCCTAGGTCCTGGGGCAGAACTACAACCAGCAATCAAACACTGATAAGCAGGCATTCAAATACTCAAGCTTCACAAAAGGTATGGAAATATTCCAATAAATGAAACTCGTTTCCATTGTTGAACATCAATACAAGAATACAAATTACATTTTTAAAACAACAACAAACTGAAAATTTACTGCAGAATAGCAATGCCTTTAATACCTGGACTGATTCATTTTTAGTATTAGGAAAGATCTTCCGTTGGTAGACATTTTATTTTATACTTAATTCTTAATAATTAATGCGGGCGGTAGGTACCTTTTTAAAACAAGAGGCCAAAGGGCCTTAGGGGTCACTTGAGTTATATCATAGGTACTGGTAGCTTTATTTTATTGTTTAGATGTGAAGTGGAAATCAGTATGTAAACTAAGTGAAATACAATACTTGTCATGTCATCAAAAGATAAGAATTTGAAAACATTGGTAAATGTTCCCTTTGGGGCCCCGCCCTGGCCCCTGGGGATGGGGCAGAAATCCTAATTTTACAATGTAATACCCTCATTCACCAAAGATGATTCTGACTAGGTTTGAGTAATTTTCTGCTGAAAATGGATAAAATATACCCAAAAGTGTTATTTCCCTATATAAACTATAGTAAACTTTACCCCCTCCCCAAGGGAGAATGGATAGCTCCGGGGGCCTGAAATTTACAATTTAAATATAGCCCCTGATGATCTTTCTTTCCATACAGAGAAAATGACTGTAGTACCTCTGAGTCTGGAGAAGAAGATTTTTGAAATATTGGTTAATTTTCCCTTTGGGCCCCGTTTGGGGTAGGAATTTCAATTTTACAATTTTGTATCCTCATCTGCCAAGGATGATTCTGACCAAGTTTGAAAAAATTCCATCTACTGGTTCTTCAGAAGAAGTTGAAAATGTAAAAAGTTTACGCACGATGGACGACAATGGAGGGAAAGTGATAGGAATAGGTCACTTGAGCTCAGGTGACCTAAAAAGAAGATTTCCCCATAACACTTCTCATTATTAGTTACCTGCTAAGATCATCTATATTACTGAAGTCTGCCCAGTTGTCCTCGTTTTGTGACACTGGTATTTTGTTGGTGAATTCAGCCCAGTTCTCTCCCTCTGTTTGATTTGGTTGTTCCTGCTGTTGTGGTTGCTGGGTAGCAGTGTTCCATGGTGAAGTGTCCATGGCAATGGGTGTGGACTCCTCATCAAAGTTGGCCTGCCAGGCTGTAAATGTGACAGGGTAAGTAAGACACAATTACACATAAATGCAGTTTGGGCCTTGGCTGAATTTCATTTGTCAATAAAACAGATATTTCTCTTAAAATGCTGTCAAATTTCAAAGAAACATTTACAATATATCCATATACATGTTTAAAAATTACAATTTACAAATGCAGAAAACGGGTAGTCTTGGTCAGAAACTTCCATACTCTTATTAGTAAACTTACATTATCAGAGTGAATGTTTATTTCCTCATGGACTTGATAAAATACTTAATTTAATACATCAAAGACCTGATATTGCGAGATAAATATAAATAAAGCTAAAAGCAAATAAAACAATTGCATCTTTCAAGCTGTCAAGAAAATCGGTTTACCTAACCAAAAAGACAAATATGGAGGGATAACAGGGAAAGGGAATCAACAGCATGCCACAACACACCACATATCCAAAACTACTAGGCAACTGAGTTCAACATTTCCAGTAAACTGACATCTTTTTTTCTCTCAATTAGACCCATCACTGCCAAAACATTTGAGCTGCTGTCTTTATTTTGCTTTCAACTTTAATGTCTAGTCTGGATATTGTAAATTTTTTGCATCAGTGTTGAGATCTCTGTTGCCTACCATCCTGACTGGAGTCAACGTCCATGTTCTCACTTGGTTGCTGTAGAATCCTTTTGGGTGAGGTAAGCTCCTCCTCGCTGTCAGTACTTGTGTCACTGTCATCACCAGAGGTTTCTGTCAGACGCCTGTAAACAATGTAATCCATTATATTTCTTTAAATTTGGCTCCAAAATGGGAAAAGGATGGATTTTACCGATAAGTATCGGATATGACTGTCATATTTATCAAGTATCCGTCCACTTTTCCTAAAATTGAAGTTAAGAAGACTGCTAAATAGTGATGGTGCAGGAGACAAGACCTGGGAACCCAAGCACATTGTATCCTTTGTGGTTATCAATGGCACTGGGAACCCAAGTACATTGTATCTTTTGTGGTTATCAATGGCAAAGGTGATCATAGGTAGTGCTAATAAATCAATTGTTTTTCAATGTTGGTTTAAAGTTTTCAGACATTACTTTTGTGGCCCAAATAGTTAATTCCATTTAGAAACTGATCAATTGGGGGCCGCTGATCTACATTGTAAAGAAAAATATTAAAATATAGTTATCTGAAATCATGGTCAGCTGACACCTACCCCGACCTTTTAGCCTGTGAGCTTGGTGAGTAGGTAATCTCTTTTTCCTCCCATATATCTTCATCGCTGTCTTCATTGTCATCAAACTGCTGGATCTTTTCATTGCAAGCCTGGTCAAACATTGAAGAGCTTGCCGCCTGTAAAAACCAGTGGTCAATGTGTTATAAAAACACAGGCGAATTTTATATTAATTTATTCAGGGTTTATTCAGGGTTTGAAACAAATACATATCTTCAAGCAAAATTCATGTGAATTGTAAGAATAGTCTAGTTTAAAGTTCCTCACTCACAAATTTCTGCAAGTAGATTTTTAAACTCTCCGACAAAGTTCAATATTGATATTCAACAAGATGTCCTAAATGAATCATTGTATATGTTTTCAACTCCATTTGTTCAAATGTTCATTCATGTTACATTTGTTTTGTGAGTTCGAAACTGATTTTGTAAGTTAAATTTTCAATCACTTGCAAAATTTTCTTAAGTGGCTAAATAGTTTCAACCACTGTCAAAAGCACAACTTTATAGCATGCCAGTGTAAAAAGTACTGCAATTTCTGTATGAAAAAGAAAACAGTATAATGAGTAATCAAGTCACTCCTGGATAAAAAAAAGATAAGTTACAAAATGACCTAAAACATGAATTCCCCTACTCCATGCCAATCTTATGTCACTTCAATAAATAGCAACAGTGACTATGGCCTTAACTTGGGAACCCTGAAATAAGAACTCATTCGAGGTATTATCACACTTGACTTTTGTATACAGTTTGATTAAAATCTGTTTAGAATTAAATCTGCTAGAACAATGACACTGAAATGAGAAAGGACGGTACAGAACAGGCCATGCTGGACATGGGTAATAGGACTTCCCCTCTCAAAGAAAGGAGATGTGATCTTAGAATGTGGCACTCAGCCATCCAAACAGATACCCTCATACAAAATTTGGCAATTACAGATAAAAGAGTATTTAAAATATGCCCGCACCATTGTGACAAACAGGCTGATGGACTCAGAGCAAACCTTTAGGTTCCCTCTGTTAGTACTTATAGGGAACTTATACTCACATGATCCTCGTTTGCTTGAATGTTAAAGTCTATACTAGATATCCTCTCCGTGAAAAGGGAGCTGGAATAAATAATCACGCATATTCATTATAATTTGCATCAACACTCTGATAGCGACCTCTGAAAGCATTTGGATCTGATTGAGGATTTTCTGTAACTTGTTAGGAAACATTTTAATCTATAGTATTTTATCAAACTTTCATGAATGATAAGTGCAAATCTTATAATAAAACTTGTAGTTTGTATATGACACATTTTAAAATGGAATCAATTTGCAGAGACCCTGTCACTTTTAATTCAATAGAACAAGTAGCCTTGCTGGACCCTTTCCAGACTTCTCTGTAGAAGAAAAAGTATTTACATGAGTAACCTTGGCTGATACTGTAAAAGAATTGAACTTCATAACACTTAAATTGTCTGCAAAGTATGTCAAAACTATTACTTAGTAGGAATGACCTTTTTTGTTTACTTCACAGTTAAAATATACAATAAAAAGCTGAAAACTTGTGTAATGAAGTAATGACAAAAAGTGGATATAATGACAGACTACAAAAATAATTCTAATACATTCAAATAATTCCAATTGATTAAAAAATACAAATCTATCACTCACTCAAGTTTGCCTTCCTGTTCAGTGAACTCTTCCTCGTTGAAGCCAAATTGGTCGATGAAGTTGCTGGTCATTTGTTGCAGCTGGTAATCAGAGAAGGCCTGATGAATAATAAATCAGGCGGCACATCAGCAGCCACGAACAACTGTGTACCCACCCACCCATGCCAGGAGTGGACACACCTGTCTGTACTACAGTAAGCTAGCCATTCCATACCTACTCATACCAGGAGTGGACAGACCTGTCTGTACTACAGTAAGCTAGCCATTACATACCCACTCATACCAGGAGTGGACACACCCGTCTGTACTACAGTAAGCTAGCCATTCCATACCCACTCATGCAAGGAGTGGACACCCCTGTCTGTACTACAGTAAGCTAGCCATTCCATACCCACTCAAACCAGGAGTGGATACACCTGTCTGTACTACAGTAAGCTAGCCATTCCATACCCACTCATGCCAGGAGTGGACACACCTGTCTGTACTACAGTACGCTAGCCATTACATACCCACTCATACCAGGAGTGGACACACCCGTCTGTACTACAGTAAGCTAGCCATTCCATACCCACTCATGCAAGGAGTGGACACCCCTGTCTGTACTACAGTAAGCTAGCCATTCCATACCTACTCATACCAGGAGTGGACACCCTTGTCTGTACTACAGTAAGCTAGCCATTACATACCCACTCATACCAGGAGTGGACACACCCGTCTGTACTACAGTAAGCTAGCCATTCCATACCCCCTCATGCAAGGAGTGGACACCCCTGTCTGTACTACAGTAAGCTAGCCATTACATACCCACTCATACCAGGAGAGGACACACCTGTCTGTACTACAGTAAGCTAGCCATTCCATACCCACTCATGCAAGGAGTGGACACACCTGTCTGTACTACAGTAAGCTTGCCATTACATACCCACTCATACCAGGAGTGGACACACCCGTCTGTACTACAGTAAGCTAGCCATTCCATACCTACTCATACCAGGAGTGGACAGACCTGTCTGTACTACAGTAAGCTAGCCATTACATCCCCACTCATACCAGGAGTGGACACCCCTGTCTGTACTACAGTAAGCTAGCCATTACATAGCCACTCATACCAGGAGTGGACACACCTGTCTGTACTACAGTAAGCTTGCCATTACATACCCACTCATACCAGGAGTGGATACACCTGTTGTACTGTAGCTAACAATCACCTAACCACATCAGGAAACTCTTGTCAGTGAGTGAACTACAGTAAGATTAAAATCACCCACCATGACCTATGCAAGGGAAATCCTGTCAGTGAGTGAACTACAGTAAGATTAAAATCACCCACCGTGACCTATGCAAGGGAAATCCTGTAAATGACTGAACTACAGTAAGATTAAAATCACCCACCATGACCTATGCAAGGGAAATCCTGTCAGTGAGTGAACTACAGTAAGATTAAAATCACCCACCGTGACCTATGGAAGGGAAATCCTGTAAATGACTGAACTACAGTAAGATTAAAATCCCCCCCCATGACCTATGCAAGGGAAATCCTGTCAGTGAGTGAACTACAGTAAGATTAAAATCAACCACCATGACCTATGCAAGGGAAATCCTGTCAGTGAGTGAACTACAGTAGGATTAAAATCACCCACCATGACCTATGCAAGGGAAATCCTGTCAGTGACTGAACTACAGTAAGATTAAAATCACCCACCATGGCCTATGCAAAGGAAATCCTGTCAGTGAGTCTTCCAGCCATTTAGCCAGGAAAATCCTTATGGTAACAATTTTCCTGTATACTATGTTGGAGCTTTGTGCAATCATTCCGTCTGATGTAAAAAATCAGAAGGTCATTCATTTTTCTGTTAAATTCTATTGTTAGTGACCTCCTAACTCGGGCAGCTCACACACAAAGCGTAATCTTTGTTTGGTAAGTGTTCTGAAGTTCGGGTCCGAACACAGAAACTCTTTTTGTTTAGTTTAACATTGACCTTGACCTTTTAGACAACTCACATGACCCAAGGGTGTAAACATTATAAATCTAAAATAATGTACTCAACATGTTTTTGCCATACATATAGGTAACAAAAATGTATACATATCCAACATTGAAGAACTAAAAACTCCTCAAGTCAAGCCTCCACACAAAATTTACCTAATGCAGCCAACCTTTCTCTCATTAATAACTATCATCTTCATGAAAATACTCTGGTGTAGACAGTTCATGAAACATGCAAATGATACTGAAAATGTATCTTTTTGCCATGCACAGATTAGCTTCTAAGAACTATTTTACAGAAAGCAAAAGCTGATACATTGATCTAAACACATAATGTAATCATTTTGTAAGTACTTACAATCATTTTAGCATTAAAAAAAATTCCTTGTTTTGTTGAGATTTTTTTCACTTTAAATTCATATATAATTTATTTCATTCAAAATTTACTTATTTTCTATTTTACACTTCAACATCTTAGTGTAAACAAATGAAGTATAAGCATACCTGCTGTATAGCCTCGTCTTGTGGGAAGGGAATGTCTCTAAAGTCTGGGTCCTCATCGTCACTACTGGAGGCGATAGGATGACCCCGTACCTGTAATGCAACAACCTCAATCAAACACTGAGCCACCTCAGTCTAACACTGCATATAATACTGAACTCAATCAAATTAAGTGAATTGTTTGTTCTTTTCTTCATCTAATAGTGTATGTTACATATAACACTATTAGATCAGCTATTTGTTTTGTCATATACCATTTATGACTCAATCTAGCCATATATGGTATTAATTCCTAACCAAGTCAAATCACATGGCAGTAATAACATTGAAACAAGATGCTATTTTGGGAATCATGTTGATTTGAACACTACCATTTGGTTGAAAATTGACCAACAATTTGGAAGTAAATGTCATTTAAAGTAAATCAACCACTTTGACACTCTTTTTTCCTCCCCTTAGCCTGTTTGATACTCATAATCCAAGCATGCTACCATACTAATTTTGTCAACATCTGCCCAATACTTTGGGAAGAGATGCCTATTTGACCCCTTTGAACTGAGCCCCTGAGTCTCCATGAGGGTCTGTACCTTTGTGTAATTTTTGATCCCATTGGTGAAGGATGTCTACACAGAAATTTGGATTTCTGCTATTAAAGTAACTTGGGAGATGTATAAATCCAAAGGTCCCCATGGTACTTTGTACAAAGGGCAGCTAAAACACTATTAATTACTATAGTATTGGAACTGTATGACAGTATAAAGGAATACTCACCAGTTCTATTGTATTTTTCTTGTTTAGTTCTGATAAGCTACCAGAGACAAAGGCTTCCCATTTTTCTCTGTGTTCTTCCTCAAGTTCTGAAAGAAAACATTTTAAAGGTGGAATTATACTCTTCAAACCAATGTGCAAAAGTTGCATATGTTGGCTGAATTCCCAAATGGTTTATGATAATCTAAGGACATCAGTGTATCATCAAAAACATAGCCATTGTCACTGAAATCATCATCAACTACTTGTTCATGACTCAGTAATGTGTTATCCACCTCAATAAACCATAACAAACTGTTCACACTGGAAGTTCAGTTGAATCTGATGACAGTAATATGGACGCTGACGATCAAGACTGCTGCAAGTGTAGGCATATGTGCTTTTCATTGTAACTACTGCTCATCTAATTAACAGGTGGATCTTGACTAATAATATGCCAATTTAATATCATTTTATGTTTTGGATGAAGGAAAAAATTATGACAACCATAAAGTCACATGCACACTGACACTAGTCCAGGTGTATAAAGTTTATTTGAAGCAATACAATTCTTTAGTCGGGACTGTTGACAAGTCAAACAGGACAAATTATTATACCAACTCTTAAAAGATACTAACTAATGGAGTGATATATTTTTATGCTGTAGCTGAAGATATTGACATATCAATAAGCATGACATATCTCAATGTATGCTACAGAGATTGTCAAGACAAGCAAATAGTGAAATCTTCGTAATCCTGACTGGATTTTGATAATGAATTTATATTCAGATTCCTAGACACTTGTTTACACTTGTTAATCCCTCGTCCAACTCCTTCATAGCAAACTGTCTATGTTGTTGGAGGGGTTGGATATTGGGAGGTGGTCATACGCCTGGTAACAGGTTTAGATAGGTAATGATCTAGCCCCTTATCAGGGCTTTGGTAGAATTGTTTTGAATGGCAATACAAGCTCATTTTATGTTTACCAATGACCTGATTGAGGGGCTAGCTATTGTCCAACTGTTTCAATATAACATACATTATGCAGGCTTTTCAAATATTTCAATTGCCTAGGTGTACATGTGTTACATTATAATTCAATGAAGAAATTTATAAATTCTATCTTGGGAGATTTGTATTATAGAATAAATGATACAGACATAAAGAATAAGGATTATAAGTGTACATTGTACATACAGGTTTAAATACTGTAACATGCCAGTCTTGTTATAAAAAAACAAATACTGTTCAGTTTCTTTTCACAGAAAAGATCGCGGAAATTTAAGTTCTCAACAACAAAAGACTGCTATCTGCGACATCGGATAAGATGTCGTTTTGTTTTTATTGTATAAATGCACATTTTATATGAACACACATCATATTTTCTTCAAATTAGTATTCCTGATTCCATATTAATGTTCTATATTCATTCCTGATTCATCGAGTACATGTATATGCAAATATTTCTGATTTCCTCAATTAATTATTTTTTTCAAGATTCCCACTTATTTCTCAGATTTTGTGTGAGTTATCAAAAGTTGCCACATTTCATCTCTGTGTATATATATGTGTCTAGTTTTAATTCAACATTGCTTTATTTACAGATTCTAAGTGTGAGCTATCTAAGGTAACAACATTTCAACTCTGTATATATATGTGTATAGTTTTAATTCAACATTGCTTTATTTACAGATTTTAAGTGTGAGCTATCTAAGGTAACAACATTTCAACTCTGTATATATATATGTATAGTTTTAATTCAACATTGCTTTATTTACAGATTCTAAGTGTGAGCTATCTAAAGTTACCACATTTCAACCTTGTATATATATGTGTATAGTTTTAACATACAGGTAGTTTATATGAGTACAATGTCACTTTTTTAAACATAGACTTCTACTGAGCAATGGAACACTTTGTCTAGAGTTCTAGAATATCTGTTGTCTTATTGTAATGAACTGTATGGTCAGACCAGATTTCTTTTTTTAAACTGGATTGCCTATCCCGCGATTCACATGCAACAATGATAAGATGTGATATCGTAAATGATAACAAAGATGGACTGTAAAATATCAATTTTACATACCAATCTGGATGTAGAAACTATTTAACAAGCTGTGAAAACAAGCACATTACATTTGGAGGAAAATCTAGCAAAGTGTATTGAAATATCATTTTCATAATAATACAAAGCCCAAAATATAACCACAGATCTGGAATATGGATACCAACTTAGCCAAGTTAAATGCTTTTTATTCTTTTTCTGATTATTATGCTATCTTCTTTCAATTTGCTCTTAACTGTTATTATGAAGAAAGAAAAATGTAGAGCTTTCACTGATGTGTGATAGCTTGACATGATTGTCTTTAACCCAAAACGTATGAAAAGGGCAAAAGGTGGAAAGGACTGTTGATCTAACTTTAAATGTACAAAATTGTGAAATTTTCATCAAGGACAGCATCATTTTCATTGCATTTTTATATATAACAAGAGGCCCATGGGCCTTAACGGGCACCTGATATATTTATACAGAGAGTTGGTTTTGTTTTTAACATGAACAGAAATATTATTCAAAGTGACAAAAAACAATAAAACCACCTTACTCTATATCTAGCATACAGATTTCAGACTAAAAAGGATTTGAAACTAGCACCTCTGATTCTTAACAAGGAAAATGAAGAAATTTTAGCACACTGACTCCTTTGAGCCCCACCCTACAGCCCTTGGGGGTAGGGCTGGCTCAAAATTTTCAAAGTATCAAACTGTCAATTCAAGGTTATAATTCCAATCAAGTTATTAACATGTAATATTCAAAGTATCATTTGCCATTATAAACCATAATAAATTTTACCCCCCCCCCCCCCCTCCTTCCCCAGGGGGTAAACGTGAGACCCTAGGGTCATACACCTTAAGACCCTTCCATCTATGAAGAGTATTTGATTCTACCATATCTGGGTCTTGAGAAGAAGATTTTTGAAATTTTAGTCAATTCAACCCTTTTTTCACCCCATCCATCAGCCCCTGGGGGTCAGCCAGGGCTCATAGGTACATACTATCAAACTGATACCTAATACTGATAATGCTAACCCAAATTGAATTACTTCCAATGGAAATTAAACAAATGTTGGTCCAAAATGTGATTTCCCTATATAAACTATAGTAAAGTTCCCCAGGGGGAAATGTGAGACCCCAGGGTCAAGAAATTCACAATTTCGGTTAAGCACCTTAAGACCCTTCCATCTATGAAGAGTATTTGATTCTACCATATCTGGGTCTTGAGAAGAAGTTTTTGAAATTTCAGTCAATTTGACCCTTTTTGGCCAAGCCCCTAAGGCCCCGGGGGGCTTAGGACTAAACCGGCAACTATTTTTGTTGACCTTTGTCCATGGAAGGTCCCTGCAAAATTTCATTGAAATTGGTTCAGGGGTTTTGGAGAAGAAGTGGAAAATGTAAATTGTTTACGGACACACGACGGACAAAAGGCGATCGCAATAGGTCACTTGAGACTTTGTCTCAGGTGACCTAAAAAGCATATACACATGGCTGTCTGTGTGATTTTTTTTTATAAAATTGACATGGGTTTTAAAAAAGAAATTCTATTTCTATGCAACAAAAATTTGTCAAAATGAAAAAGTAAAACAATTGCCATGAATACAATACATAAATGATAGCAACTAATGAGACATGGCATTTGTAAAATATCTATATGGAATAACTATATGGAAATTAAATTTTGAAACATTGCTGAAAACTTAATTCTCATATTTTCAAGAAAAAAATCTGAAAAATGGCTTAAATAATATTAAAAAAATAAGACTAATTGGAAAATAACGCAAAGGCTTTTCTAAAAGCAAATGCAAACAACCATCATTTGTCATAATAATACTTTTGAAGTTACATCAATATTGGTGTCACTACCTATACACCTTTTATTTTAGGATTAATGCTTTGTTAACGATTCTCAATCAGGATACAAACCATTGATCTGCTCCTTGAGTAAGTCTGTGTTTTCACCCTTTTCTAGAACAGCTACCACGTCATTGGCTATTTTGGTTAAGTGGCCCATATAGCCTCGTCGTCTACCCTTTTCTCGACTTCTACAAAATAATGTGTTTACTTGAAAATCAGCTCTAGTGTTGATGCTTGTTACTTTTTTAAACTTATAATATTAGCCAATATCTTACAATCATAGCAGCAAACATTTTGTTCTGAAAATGAAGATTTTTGTATAAATCTAAAATAGTAAACAACCCCCACTATCACCATATCAACTTAGCTGTTGTGAAGACGTTAATAACTCCACGAAACCTTAACCTTTAATGAGAACAAGAACTCACTGTTGCTGATCATTTTCCTCCCACACATCCATTATTCGCTGAACAAGGTGGAATTCTGAAAATAACTGAATAAAGAGATAGCAATTCAATAATTATATCAAATTGCAACGTCAAGGTATTTTTCTACACACAAAATCTTTATATCGAGATTTGCTACAAGTTACCTCCTAATGTCATTTTTATATTCATCTTATGAAGTTTGATGAAAATTAGAAATTGTTCAGAATTTAAGTCAGTAGTGTTGACAAAGTTTTTCTATTATGGGGCAACAGTGACATTGCCCTCGAGGTATTCTCATAAGGGATCTTTGTATAAAGATTGATGAAACTATACCAAGAAATGAATTTACTGATAACTCTAAAATAGGCCGAGAGAGACATGAGTAACAAACACTGTATACCCCCATCAAATAAAACAAAAGAACGCTAATATGTACACAACATTATTCATACATTGAAGTCAGATACATTTTTACATAATCAGAACTACACATTTAATATGTTGATTCATTATTTATTTGACACTAACAAGAGGCCTCTAACACTCATAACCAATTCCCAACATGGTACTGGATTATGTCCCCTCCTTCATACTGTCATTACTCATCTCAACCTTACCTGGACTAAAAGTAGGTGCTCCTTCTTTCCTTCGGTTTCAATAGGAGAGTTATATAACACAGTGTTGATACATTGTGAAACATGCGTGTGAAGAAAATTGTTCCAACAGTACTTGAAATATAAATCCTGCAAAAAAGATTTTGAACTAAACTTTTGGAGTATTATCACAACAATTGAATCCACTTTAATAGCTGGTTCAATAGGAACCATCACAATAGGTTGTATTTTTTTGTTTAAACTTTGATTAATTAGCTTATATAAAGTCTTTTCATATTATTAAAAAAATCCATTTTTTTCTTCAACAGAACATCATCACTGGTGCAGCTCTACTAGAATACTTACTACTAAAACCCCCATGGTCCCCAAATTGGCTAATTCTACTGTAACAGAATGGGAATTGGTTAAAGTGAGTGCTGATACAAGACGAGCTATCTGCAGTCTGGTGTTTCCAAGCGGTGGCTCAAGCGTTCCTATTGACGTAGGCATTGTACAAAACTTTTGCTGCAAAGAAAAATAACAACAAATTTAATAATGCTGAATTGACACATAATAATGTATAGAAGACACTTTAAATTCATAAAGTACATGCCTGTCTGCCTATTGGATATGTAACTGTTTTATTCGAAAATCCTGTACAGAAAAATGTTGTTACATTTAATCTGTAATCTTGACAATAACAAAGATCCAGGAAGGATTACATCATATATTATGAAGATATTATAATACACACATCAATGCTAAACATAAACTGTGTAACATTTAATCACAGTTCATAACATAGTCAAATGACAAATTTAAAGCATATAACACCACTTCAATTCCAGTGTGCTGTGTGAATTTAACAGGATTATAAAACAACAGTGCGCAGCAACATGTGTAGTAAACATAACATGAGGATACCTACCTTGGGTGGAGTTAGGAGTAAATTATGGAAATCACGTAGTCTTGGTGTAATTGCTAATAAAACATTACTAACACCTTGGGCTAATCGTTCTGTGTCTAGTGTTGAAATATGTTCTGTCGATCCTTCAGGACTGAAACAAGACAAACAACCATATTGAGATGTCGGATTTAAAACTGTTCTTATAAATATAACACAAAATTTATATAAATAAGTTGTGCATGAACAAAATATCAATTCTGATATTATTACAGTACTGTTTTTCAAGTACCATCTTTTTTCAGTCATCGAAGTGAATAATAAATGAAATTCTCCAAGACTTGCCATTGAAATATAGAATAAGTGGATAGTTCTAAGTACTCACCCTTGTTTTCTAAATTCTAAAAGTGTTTGTATCACAGATAAACCATTGACTATAACAGACTCATTGCGTTCAGTGTCCAACATGTTGCTTAGCAGGTCAGACACGGTCTCCTCCCTGTAATCAAGAAGTCACAATTGTAATTGTTTTCCTTACACAAACAAAAACGCTTTTTGCAGTCAGCATATTTTTACAGGCAGTGATCTTAAGTTGCATCGAGGCCATTATAAAAACAGTGAACTTCAAGAACAAATATTTACAACAATTATGTTTCAACATATTTTCCTTATGCATAAAATTGACTACTTGCATACTAGTACCACTTGTATGCTACTGTATTACAGCTCCCGATAACAATAGTTCATTGGGAATCATGATGCGATTGCAATTGAGAAAGTTTGCTAACATTTTCTTGAGTCCAACTGGAAATATAAGTAACTTGTTATTTAGATATGGCCTCAAGTAGGGATCAGCACACAAATGCATCCAAGAAATAGCTTAACAACCTTTAAGTACTATATTCACAGAAAATCAAAAATGGCCTGGTTGCTTGTTTATTTATTCAGTCAAATTGAAGCAAGCAAAACTAGAGACTAAAACGATCATTAATACTATATTTGGTCATGATCCCTTTATTAATTCCTAACAAATAGTTGTAAACAACCTTGACAGATGGCTGACAAATTTTCTTTTTGTTAAAGGTTTAATAGGTTTAAAGACAATCAATTTGGCTTCATAATAGCATATAATAAAATTATATTTTTTCAAGGAAAATAGATAACATAATCTTGTCAGCTTGCTCTATTTTGTAGGTTATTGTCGGGCTAGCAGATATCTATTTCAGGCTAGTGGACTAAGAGTATCTACTAGTCCTGGACTAGTATATTGGGAGAGAAAAAGTACACCCCTGTGATGGAGTGCGAAATTTACAGGTGAAAAAAGATCACTGTATTCATTTTGAAATTGTTTATCATAGGTACATTAAATATTTTGGGTAAAATGATACAAATTTGTAATTTGTGATTGATTACCTTTATTGAGATATGTGGGATAAACAGTTATGACATTATTACTACATACATTTCCACTGTGTTGAGCAGAGGGTCCGGCTCTGGCTTGTCCTGTAGTTGTGACAGCTGTTCCCTCCCTAGCCGTACAATATCACATAGAGACTGGGCTGCATTGCAGTGAACCTGTAACCAAGTAAAATATGAACAATGCAACTTAAGCTGTTATATTCAGGAAATATAATTGCTATATAATTTGTCAGTTCGGATCAACTAATAAGAAGTTTTCACAATTCAACCACTGCCATCTGAGATTGGAGAACATCAGAGAGTGGAATTCATATCTATCTCATTTCTCTGTGTGTAAGATAGAGCTATTCAGGGTAAGAAAGAGGTGTAAGAAATATCTATCCTGCACCCCATTTCACGTGACGTGAAACAATGATGTGACGTCACGAAATTTGGAACTTTCCGATGCCGCAATGAGGAAAAGGCGATGTGATGAAATTAAAACCTTTTAGGATATATTTACTCTACACGCTAAAGGGGCATCACGCTGAAGTAACTATTTTTTGTGTCTTTTTTTCAAATACTACATAAACATATCAAGTGAGACTCCTTACGGAAAATAACGATCGGATTTGGCTGAAATAGATTCATAAAAATTATTAAATCTAAGATAATCATTGGTATTTCTACCTGTCTGACCAACGTTTTGTTTCAGGGATTTCCCTCCACTAGCGCATGCGCATTGCACACCATTTCTTTGTAAACAAAATGACTGGCCGTGTGAAGTAAGCCAACGAAAAGGGTTGTACCATGTCAGCTATGAAGCGAAAAGTTAACAAATGGTCAAAAGATAGCGCAAGGAGTACGTTACGGAATCATTATTACAGGTGGGAAGTATTCTAAGGAGAGAATAACTGCCCTAGCAGTTAGTACGGTGCATGTATTCTTCCTGATAGCTGGTTAAGCTGAAATGGAATCGACAGAAATGCTAGCGCTGTTTATGTTATGAATAAATATCTAAAACTATAAACCTTGCTAGTATCTTTGTCCGAGTTTGAACACAGATGAACTTAGTTTAATATGTCAATGGGCATGTATCTGAGAGAGTTTACTTTGTATTTCTATAATTATACAGTGGTTTAGGATAAGTGACTGGTTAGTTTGATTTTGTCATGAGGCCCTCCAAGGGTTAACTGTTGTGATAGCCACGGCGTATTCTGTCTCTGACGGTACTCGGGATCGGGGTCAAATGAGATACGTGCGCTTTTAGATTTACATAATTTATAATATTACCGGGTTCAGTAAAATGGTATGATTTAATTATATTGCTGAATTAAACGATTTTTTGTTAGTTTTTACATACAAGATTTAAATTAGTACTAATATGAATACCCGGCTCCTCTGGCACAACAACGCAATATGTCAGAAAGCTACATTATTGCAGCTAGATTAAAAATGTCAAAATGACGGGCCAGGATGAATAACTGAGGAAGGAGAACCTACTTCTAGCAGAGACGTATAAGTATACGTCTCTGCTTCTAGTAAATAGGATCGCGTACATTTTTTTTAAATCGTAATATTTCAACAGTTCATGTTTTCATATGTTGTTGACTTATGATGTATGATCATGCAACATCCTTTTCTCTGTAAAGAATTGATTTTCGACTTCAGATAGAATCGGAATACGTATTGAAAACAGGGGAAGAAACATTTGTTTACGTTGTAAAAATGGCACGTGCTGCCGATAACTACGCTTCTGTTTCGGACAAAAATGAAATTATTAAAGAAAACTTGGCTCAACATAAAAAAGGGTCCATTGACAAGAATGCTTTAATCTATGAAAAGTATTGAAAAAATATAATTATCAAGTAGCTCAACACGTCCCATATCTGACACATGTTCTACATGTACACATAGTGGTTTTGCCATACAGTTTAGTGTGTGTGATGGCTAATATGACTTACTAAGTGTTAGCGTATGGAGACAGTGAAAGTGGGTAAGAAGAGAGTAAACATAAATTTTTATGCATGGTATAGAAAAATAAAATGGCCAAAGATATGGAGTTGCACAATGTAAAAAAATAAATCACAAACGTTTCTCTTTTTTATAGCGTGTAGTTTGTCATTGCATATATGCACTTTACGAAAACATCTGAAAAGGGATATTCGTCTCGTGAATATTTCTTTTTACAGAAAGGTTTGTTCCATGGTTAAAGAAAGGTGTTAAGCCCCTTACAGATGACTTTGAAAGTGGGTCAAGTAAAAAGTTGACGCCGGACAGACGGACGACGGACACCGCACCATAACATAAGCTCACTTGCCGTTCGGGCAGGTGAGCTAAAAACGTGTGCCCCAGTCCTTGTTCAATTTTATTGGCAACAAACATGTTTAAAGTTTAAATTAATTTAAATTCTGAATATTGGCAAGTGTGCAATTAACTTCTGATGATGAATAACTACTGTTCAATAAGTTTGAATACAGACTTAGAAATCATATTACTTGGTTTCATAGTGCGGTAAGAAGTTGCAGTTGCCAGACGCCCCTCTCTAGGTGCCCCTTTGGAAACCGTTTCATCTCGCCCAGACTGTTCGTGTTTACTGCCTAGTCAGGTGACGTTATCAGCGCTATTTTTAGCAGGGCTTTCCCGAACAATTCAAGTGGTCAAACTGGACATTTGGAACGGACTAGGAATATGGGGATAGCGAGGTAACATAAGTGGAAGTGCATACAATACATACATTCATAAAAAAAAAATGGCTCTTCAAGTTATGTCCCTTTAAAAGATGTGATTTATTTATCTGTGCAAATATGGGACATACTTAATCTGACTGGCTGATTCGTTTTCGTCTAAAAAAAGCTCAGGGGAAAAATTGGTATTTTCAAAATGGTGGCCAGTCCAAATGCATTTTCATGGTTTCTGGGCTTATTCTGGTGGTTGGAATGAGAGAAAAATACTCTTTCATGCCAAAGGGGGTAGGATAGGGAAATTCCACCCTCTGGATTTTCAAATTTGGCAAAACCCTTGTCAAATCCTTTGGTTTTACCAAATTTGAAAACCCCTCGGGTGGAATTTCCCTATCCTACACCCCTGGATATGAAAGTGTCTTATAATCTTTAAAGCATATTTCTCTTAGAGTCAGGCTTTACATATCAATTAGAGTCAATAAGTTATGAGAAAATTGCAATTTTTCAGTAAGTGTTCACGCTTGACATGCACCATTTGAATGTAAATCTTGTGATTGTTTTCGTCGTGACATGACAACTTGACAATGAAAATTTAGTGATATGTTTTTAATACAGGCCAACATGAGTGCTTTCTTACAGATATTTGTCCAATACGAGAAATAGTAACCTTCCAATATTTCTTATCCTGTTTTCAATGTTTCCTCTTGGGTATTACATACTTACATCTTCATCAGTTGATGTCTTAAAGCATCCAACTAATTTTTCTACGATCTGGTTCTCATTTAACCACTGAAACAATGAAAAAAATTACCAAGGTAAGATTTTTTTATAAACAAGGCATATAAGTTTATTCAATCAATTCCTGAATAATGTGTTGATATTTATTCATTATTAAAAAGAAATCCTTGAAGGATTTTGATGTCATCATCAAAAGGTCTTATAAGTTCTTTTTAATGTTTCTCTTTTCTCTAGTCTGCTGAATTGATAGTTATGTTGACAGTTGATGCAACAAATTGTCATTTTAATGTGACCTCATCTTACTTATCTGATGATGGTGGGCTATTAAATCTATAACCTTGTGCTTAACCTTAAATTAGACGATAGCATTTGTTCTTTAATCGACTATGTCACAAACAAATAAGGGAACAGACAGATGTTAATTATAAGTAACCCCCCCCCCCCCCCCCCCACCAATATCTATCCAGAAAACTACATCACCCCACCAGTCTAGTCTTACCTCGATCACAGCTCTCCTGATTTCAGGTGACTCAACACAGGTAAGTAGCCTGAGGAGAAGGTCCATTATTGCTGAGGTGCCTATATGTTTTAAAAGTGTCCCAATAAAATCTTCTCTGGACTTTAAAAATTCAAATATCTGAAAAATATGAAACATTAATAAGATAACATACTGTCCAAATAAATGGAGTAACATGTCTTGTATTAAAAGAGTGTTCTGTGGAATCAAAATAAATGTATGTAATTATTAGAACTTACCAAACACAACTAGAACTGTATAGCCAAAGACTGACTAAAAACTGCCTGTTCCCAATTTTAAATGCCAAAATGAACTTGAAATATGTTAGGAACTCATCATGACACTTACAACACTGTTACACCTATTGTCTTGTTTACAATAGCTACAAAACAGAATAAAGGGATGACATCAGACAAACAGACCCAACACACCAATTGAAATATGACAGAAGGCAATCATCTCAATACATGGATCTAAACTATTATATAGGTTTTCAAATTGCTATAAAAGGAATACCTTGTTGTTTGCAAATAGCTTTAATGTTTGACAAGTGGGATAAATGTTCTAACAACCCATCAAGAAATATATACTCCCATCATTTTATATTTGCCTCAGGGTAAAGAATATGAATCATGTAACACTGATATAATGTTAAATGTTTGCGCCTTTGTGGACATTGTCAGATCCTTCTGTCAAAGAGTCTATGAGTGATATACTAACTACCCTAAATTGTCAGTAGATTAAAGTAATATTTCTGTTTGAAATTCTAGTGGTGACACAAAGGACAACACATTTTTTGGGTTACCTTGTAGAAGCACATAATTGTATCAACATTTTGAATAATAATCAATAATAATCAGTTCCATTTTTTAAGTACGAGAGAAATATGGCTGAGAATTCCCCCGATTGGAATGCAGACCAGGGGTAGAATTTTGCGAGACAAGTGAAAAGTTTCAATATTTACAATGATAATATATGTCTGCTATCATAATTTTTCAAAATCTGCCTTTGGGCTAATACTCTAAATGTCAGTGTTCTCCCAAGACTTTTTAAGTGTAACAGTACCATTTCGCATGAATTTTGAGCCGCTATACGCATTACCATTTTAACGTTACCTATGCATTTGACTGTTACTCATTGATAGCTATCTAACAACACAAATATGACTGGAACATCAAGTTCTCACAAATTGATAACTTCTTCTCCCCTCTCCAATTAGACTCATCCTCATTAGACTAGCTTTTAATTGTTCCATATGATCGACACCCTGATAACGAACTCTGCCGTGCAGGTAGATTTACCTGTGGGGACGTGAACTGTGTGAACCTGTGGAGGTGGGAAACGTGAACAATAGCCCACAACTACCAGTGTGCAATTCATCTAATTATAATTAGTGATGTCTGTTAACCCTTAGGCTGCTACATTGATTTCTATGTTAAGGGACACCACTGCTGAATTAATTATTGAAATATAAATTAATTTTCTTAATTTTTCAAATGTGCAAAACTTGAAAAATATTTGTTATATGTGAATTAAAAGTATATGAAAATTGTTCGTTATTGTCTCTAGTTTATATTAACGTTTTCAATTCTAAAGTTGCTTCAGTATTTACCTGTACAGGTGGTAATAAAGGTAAGAAAAGGTGAAACTTTTAACTAATCGGATTTAAGCACCAGAAAGATCATTTTAAAATTATTTTTGTCAGCAAATGTGATAAGCAAATGATAACAGAGATTATAAACTTCATTTATGATATAAGACGCTGTTCATTTACACGGAGATTCTCAGGTAACAAGAGGCCCAAGGGCCTTAGCGGTCACCTGAGTTATATCATAGGTACCGGTAGCTTTATTTTATTGTTTAGATGTGATGTGGAAATCAGCATGTAAACTAAGTGAAATACAATACTTGTCATGTCATCAATGGATAAGAATTTGAAAATATTGGTAAATGTTCCCTTTGGGGCCCCGCCCTAGCCCCTGGGGATGGGGCAGGAATCCTAATTTTACAAAGTAAAACTCTCATTTACCCAAGATGATTCTGACTAAGTTTGAGCAATTTTCTGCTGAAAATGGATAAAATATATACCGAAAAGTGTTATTTCCCTATATAAACTATATTAAACGTTAACCCCTCCCTAAGGGAGAACGGATAGCTCAGGGTCCTGATATTTTCAATTTAAATAAAGCCCCTGATGATCTTTCTTTCCACATAGAGAAAATCACTGTAGTACCTCTGAGTCTGGAGAAGAAGATTTTTGAAATATTGATTAATTTTCCCTTTGGGGCCCCGCCCTGGCCCCAGGGGTCGGGGTAGGAATCTCAATTTTACAATTTGAAACCATCTACCTCCAAGGATAATTCTCACCAAGTAAAAATAATTTCCTACAGAAAGTTGTCAAAATATACCCAAAAGTGTTATTTCCCTATATAAACTATAGTAAACTTTACCCCCTCCCCAAGGGAGAACGGATAGCTCGGGGGTCCTGAAATTTACAATTTAAGTAAAGCCCCTGATGATCTTTCTTTCCACGTAGAGAAAATCACTGTAGTACCTCTGAGTCTGGAGAAGAAGATTTTTGAAATATTGATTAATTTTCCCTTTGGGGCCCCGCCCTGGCCCCAGGGGTTGGGGTAGGAATCCCAATTTTACAATTTTGAAGCCTCATCTACCAAGGATGATTCTGACCAAGTTTGAAAAAAATCCATCCACTGGTTCTTGAGAAGAAGTTGAAAATCTAAAAGTTTACGCACGACGGACGGCGACGGACGAAAAGCGATTAGAATAGGTCACTTGAGCAAAGCTCAGGTGACCTAAAAAGGTCAGGTATTTTATCAAGAATTGCATGCGATTTGCTACAGGTTTCGGGTCGTCATTCAATATATTTACTGTCGCAGCCGGCATATAGATATATCTTAGCTACGTTCTAGTTTATGATTAAATCATCTGTTAATAGTTTGAAGAAATCAAACGGCTCAGAACGTATCAATGTCAATGTTTAAATCGGCCTCACCTAAAGACGACATGTGCGTCTTGGTCCGCCAATATTTTCATGTTTGCATAGGACACAAAGCTGTTCATTGGAAAGTTACATATTATGTTACACCGAAGTATTTCCACATCAACCATGACAAACCCTTCAAAACCTTTATTATCATCATAGGTGCACTGGAGAATAAATGTTTACCATCATATTCATCACTTCAATCTACAGGTCCGCCATTTTTATGACGTTTTTGCCGATTTGAAATTCTCTCGCACACCTTCGGTTATTACTAGGGTACATTGCCGGGAATATCGAAAGTAATGACTAAACAACCTATCAGAAGCCTTCTACTATACACATTTAGGTTTGGTATAGCAACAATCCGCTTTCACACTTCCTGTTTACTGATCAAAAACCTACAGACCGATAGCCACAATTGACGTGCGCAGCACTGACGGCCCGACTTATCGAAACCACTGTGGCGTGTAGCAGCCTAAGGGTTACCCATCAAGGCTTCTATCTACGTTTTGATTTTCATAGGTGACCGACAATTACACCAAAATAAGAAATACAAACACAGTTGTATTCAGAAAACAAAGTTAAATACCTGCTAACCTACCTCTGCTGCAATGTTTCTGGCCATCAAATTTTAATGCTTGAAACAAGTAAGCTCGTAGAGAAGCTTTTATCAACAAATGACTTTTAGGAGAACCTGACATAATTTTTGCTACAGTAAGATAGATCATAAATGTGAGCACGTGGCGGCAATGTTGTTTTGATAACCTGAATAATCTTACGTAATCCATTATGCAATAGCTTTTAAAACATGGATGAGGAGCGTTAATCATTTGGGTGCCAAAATTATAAATAGCACATAGTTTTCCCAATTTGATAGTTACAATTACTTTTACTAGTTAATTACAGTAATTTATTTTGATAACTGTAATATTATTGAAGTTTATATTGAGAACAGCATTGTTCTGATAAAACTTTTTTGTTTACTTGATGATAACAGGTACATGTAGCTATATATAGGCCTGGTTATAACCAGAGACATATAAAGCCATATATGTAGTATGAACATCTCTGTTAGAACTATTTAATTTCATAACCAAGTCCAAGGAATTTTTTTAAATCAAATTTAAAAAAAAAATCATGGTTTCAAAATCAATAAATGATTTGTCAAAATTACTATCATTGGTTGGAATGTCATTATAATTTATTTATTCTCGGTAATATATCCATTAATTTCTATGATGATATTCTTGGAAGAAAAATGCTGAAGTATTTGCTAAAATAATCAATTTTCTTGATGCAGGTTATTGTATTTGTAGTTTATAAAAAAAATAATGATAAAGAAAAAGGCAATAATAGTGTAATGTCAAGAATATTGACTAATGCTAGTTATTTTAAATAAACTACATTAATTATTACTCTTTATGAGTTTTCTTTCACAAAGTGGCGGCACGGAAATGGTTGGCAGCGCCGCGCTGCGAACGGAAGGGTTAATAAAGGGTACCATAGCGCATTAAAAAATTCCTTGTGAGAACACTGAAATGTTAAAGGGTCACTGTTGCAGATCATTTCAAACATCTGCCGAGAAATGATTTTGTGCAACTGGAGTACTGCAATATAAATGGAACTGTAATGGAAGCACAAAAAAATGTAGGATATACAAAACAAATTCATGGTTGTAATCTGTCTTACCATTTCACTTTTGCGTGTGATGAGGAGACCCATGACCTTGCTGAAAAAGCTGGCCAAAAGAGGGTTGAGGACCTCGTTCGTCTCAAGAAAGGCATACAGCTTGTGTATCAGAGCCTCACTCCCAGCCAGAGCATCATTGATCTGGGATACATCGGATGTCAACAACTCGCATGACGTATTTGGGTATCTGCATAATAACCAAAACTATCAGTCAATGGACACATTTTGATATTAAAAGAATTACCAAATGCAGCATTTCGACACAATTCAAAATATAAATCAGCGACAGTACATAGTATGGAATATTTTATATATGTACTCTCTTTAACAAGATCACATATTAACACATTACACAAAGTTCCCATATTTACTAAAAAAAAAAAGGGGGGGGGGGAACATCACTCACTCAAAAAATGTGGAAACAATCATCGGTTAGTTCAAACCTTTTTAAAGTTAGAAGATCATAATCATCCAACAGTATTGATACATGTTGAAATAATTGATATTTGAGGCTCACTTTTAAAATACGAGACATTTCCATATTAATTGTGTTCAAGAATAATTTATAAAACTTGCTGAAAACACAATAGAAATTCTGACCACCCTATCTAAGAGAATCATGTGTTGCCTTTAAATGCCAATTCGTCTTGATAAAAAAAATGGTAGGCCTAATGGACACTATACAGTTGAACCTCGTTATCTCACTTTTTTAACTCAAAGACCCTGTTTATTTCGAAGTATTTCTCTGGACTCGGCCAATTCTCTTCCTTATCTAAGTAAATAAAACTCTGTAAATTCGAACCCTGAAAACTCAAAAAACTTGGATACCTCTAAGTAAAATATTGGTTTCAACAGCTTAAATCCAACATCAAAACATCGTTTAGTTCATGGTGTTCGAATTTCATTTTGTCACTTATTAATTCTTTGATACAAACATCTTACATGAGACAGGAGCAAGTATTGCTTTGGAAGTCAATCGAGAGATTTTGAGAACAATACTATAATTGCTGTTAATAACATCGAGTTGAGGTGTCAGGTGTCACATTTAGTTTTAATGAATCAATGTGCTACATGTACGATATAATCTGTTTGTGTGTGTAACTATTTAAAGAATCAACTATGCGTTCGGAAATAACTTACTCTATTTTTGTACGGATATTTATTGTATAATTACATACCCTTATGTTATGTATTGATTACGTTTACCATTCATCGATTGATTACAAGCATTGGCTATTAATACAAATCAACAACTGCTAGTGCTATGTCAAAACAGCAAATTTCATACCAAATATATGAACCTCCATAACTCGAACACTGGGATAACTCGAAGTTTTCCACGACTTCGAGGTAACGAGTTTTGACTGTATATATGCAACAGATACTTTGATGTTTTCAAAATCAACTTACTTGTATTTGACTTTTTCTTCCACGTCTTCTGAAGGTTCTACTGTTATCATATTCACCATTTCCTCCATGTGCTCTGGACGGATAATGCTAAAACAGTTTATCAATATTTTTAATAAACAATATGTACTACACCAAATACTCATAAATTTAAAGATAACATACAAGCAAATTGGTCCATTTTCACAAGGGAAAGAGATTTAACCCTTTGCCACATGCAAGCGCCTCTGGACGCCTTTACCCCTTGCCACATGTAAGCGCTTCCCGACGCCTCTATATTATCTCAATGTAAGCGCTTCTCGACGCCGCTATGTTATCTCAATGTAAGCGCCTCTCGACGCCATGCCGTTTCGGTAAACTTAGACATGGAAAATTCCGTGATTGAGAGCGACACCTATCTGGAAATCACCTATACTATTTTTAGAAGATATCAATGCATCGACCAATCAGATTTGTACACGTCATTCCTACGAATAGTTTTGAATTAATTAACCTAGAAACTGCGAGTCATGAGTGTAGAAAAGTGTCACAACAGCGAGCCGTGATGGCGACTGTCACAACTATGTTACGGGACATTTTTGAGGAGGAGGAGGAGGATTAATAGTTTAATGGCTTCAGCCCTGATGACATTGAGTCAGACATCAATCTTCACAATGTTTTTGAATTAACTGTCATCAGAAATAAGTCCGAAAATGATTATGTAAAAGATGAACAGCGACCGGGTGTACCGCCGCCATTACGGCATTAGGTAACGACGACTCTGAATGGTCTCGAGATTTTTCACCGATCAATTTTAATGTTTTTGTTAGAAAAACGGGGCTAATACTTCCAGAAAAATGTTGATGTTGATACTGCAGGTCCCGTTGATTATTTCTATCTTTTCTTCAATAAAAATCAGTTCACCACCATAGCCCGAGACACACAAACAATTTTACGCTCGCTGGCGTTTGAAAAACGAAAATAGATTTGACCCAAAACGGTCGGATACAAATTCCGCCGCAATAAAAGCTTTTATATAGGCCTAAATATACACTGTATTTTAAAACTTCTTGTGAGAATTTTGGAAATTTGGTTTGTTGTTTCATTTGGAAGTGATAATATCATTGTTGAGTCATTTCATTGAATCATAATATTAAAGCAAAATGAAACATTTTAAAATGTGTCTATCCTGATATACATACAGCTGATTTCATGGTTATGTGTTGATGTTTTTATTAGGAAAATAGCACTGAATTAAAATTGAAGAAATTCTGAACATCATTTTAATTTACTGAAAATGCTTAAAACAACTATTTCACCTTCAAAATTAAGGTTAGAAAAACAAATCAAAACAAAACTTAATTTCTCAAAAACTGCCATTGAGATGGCTTATACACATTTCAGTCAGTGCAGCAGTGTTGCATTGCAACAATGTATCTTGGCACTATCAGTACAGAGTGTTCAAGTGTATTGGTTTGCATGTGGCAAAGGGTTAATGGAATAACAAGAGGCCCATGGGCCTTAACGGTCACCTGAGTCCTACAGTATTTATTTTTGTTGTTGAAGTGTGTACCAATTTGTGTACAAAATAGTCAAGTATAACGTTAACTTAAGTTTGTCAGGAGCATGAGCTGATCATTCCTAGTTTCAGTTAAATCGGCCTATTAGAGCTTGTTTTTAAGTTTGAAATAGTTATTTTCAAAATAGCAGCCATGGCAGCCAAATTGGATTTCTGATCAACCCAAAAAATAACAACACTTTGTCAGGACCACGAGTCGATCGTTCCTATTAAGTTTCAGTTCAATCGGACGAGTAGAACTTGACTTTAAGTTTGAAATAGTTTTTTAAAATGGCGTCAGTGGCAGCCATATTGGATTTCTGATCGACCCGAAAAATAACAACACTTTGTCAGGACCACGAGTCGATCATTCCTACTAAGTTTCAGTTCAATCAGCACAGTAGAACTTGACTTTAAGTTTGAAATAGTTTTTCAAAATGGTGGCCATATTGGATTTCTGAATGACCTGAAAAATAACAACACTTTGTCAGGACCATGAGTCGATCATTCCTACCAAGTTTCAGTTAAATCGGCCCAGTAGAACTTGACTTTAAGTTTGAAATAGTTAATCAAAATGGCGGCCTCTGATGGATCCGAAAACTAACAACACTTGGTCAGGGAGATGTCAGTAACCTTCCCATGAAATATTAATGAAATCCCTTTGCCAGAATTTCAGCTTAATTTGAAAATATAAAATGTTAACAGATGACGCACGACGACGGATAACAATAGGTCACTTCAGCTAAAGCTCAGGTGACCTAAAAAAATCCCATGCCAGTGATTCAACAAAAGCTTACAAGTCAATCAGCTTTCTGTTCTGTGCTTTACATTCCTGCAGGATGTCATCTTCATCCATCAGCTCGTGCAGAGTCACATCCTGAAAATACATCATTGAAAATACATCAGTCTTGTAATATCAAGTCACAAAATGTCTTTCCAACTGCAAAATCAACGTATTTTTTTCTAAACAATGTATATATCTTTGCCAAGTTTGGACATAAGGTCATCATTCCATTTGAGGTTAACTGAATGTGTGCACTTTGCATTATTCTGCCATGTGGTTTTTGCACTGAAGTAGTCTTTTTCTGCATATTATTATATACCATATCAACCCCAAACGAATCGAAATTACACTGGTTAATGTGTCTAAAGTACACCTATTGCTACCTGATGATCTATTAGATACAATATTCTCCACACAAAAAAACAAACATTTATAAAATATGTGAATTGATATGAAAATGAAAAAAAAAATCTTAAACATTTTTTTTTAATATTCATCTGAGCCTCCCCTGATAATTCTATTGAAAGTGTCAATTTTCTCAAGGGAACAACTTTCTTTAGTGAGAAAGGGGGCTCTTTTCTGTGGCTGTTAATGTAGACTTTCTGCAAGTTCCTCCTGCTTTTAAAACTTTCTCTACCTATTCAAAAACTTAGAGGGTACCTGTGATGCTATTATGTAATAAAATAGTTCAGAATTGGTATACAAAAGAACTGCTACACAAAATACAACCAAGGGATAATGTGGCTTTGGTGTTTTAAAATCGGTTAAGTAAATTTAAGTTGTTGCATGCTATATGATTGATTACCTCTTTTTCCAACAAGGTGTCAATATGAGAAGACGTTAATAAGTTAAACTTCCAAAACATCTTGGTAGCTGAAAGACAAAAAAGATCATTACAGATATACCCTAGTAAAACACTTTCAAATCACAATTTCCATTAGAAATCAAGCTGCAACAGTTGACTTAATCTCCCACCCCTGCAGTAGGGGGATTAGGAAAAGAATACACCTGCTGTTACCCACTGCATGTATCGTAGGAGGTGACTAACGTGGGGAAACACCTGCAGAAATGGGGATTTGCTTTGGGATCTTTATCTTTCTACTTCTAACTACTTTTTTTTTCCAAGCGCCTTGCTTGGTAACATTTCACCAATGGCCTTAATGTTGAGTTTTATTTGTATTTTTTGCTTAAAATAAATTTTGTTTTTATTTGTTTTATTTTGAGGAATGCAACAGGTTCTGTCCCAAGACCGGGACATACCAACGTCCTTAAAAATGGTAGTTGTTATTCCCTGCCTAATGTTCAGCATTAAGGAGAATGGCAACAACTGGTTCACCCGTGTCGGTATAATGCGACTTGACGGAATGCTGTGCTGGGTGCCTTCGGCATGGTATTTCAGTGAGATAGCACTATAACATACCCGGTCTCTTGCATACACACACGCAAGCACACATGTATACACTACACACGTGGAGGAACGTCCTTAAATGACCTTAGCTGTTAAACAAAATTAAACCAACTTAATCACTATTTCAAGATTCATTCAACAAGCTTAAACTAAACTCTGTAATGGTTCTATACTAAAACGAAGATTTTTCTATAAAGGGTTATCTTACAGGGTATTACTTCACATGTAATACAATGTTAGGTTCTTTTTAACTAGAATGGCCTCATTTGCATGAGACCATAGGAACAAAATTTCAAGGTTTGACCTGGCATTGAGGATGACAACTGTAAAAGTTGTGCATTGATTAGATTGCTTTACAAGCACTGGCTGTAGGGAATTTCAATTTAGATCAACGGTAGAGCATCGGACTGGAGAGCCAAGGGTTGCTGGTGTGAGCTGCAGCGATGGCACTATCTTTATCACTATTCCTCATCCTATTACACAACTGCATGTATGTTGTAGGTACGAATATATGAACCTATTCAACTAATTTATTATCGTCAACCCTGTAGAATAACCCACACTTGCTCAAATTGACAATACACCATAAATTTATAACGAGCATGAAATGCAGTGTTCAGTTATTCTGAAGGGGAAGTTAAATCTAGACAAAAAAATGCTTGTTGGGTTTAGTTTTTGATTTACATTTTTGTTGTAATAAGTCCAAATAACTCTTTTTTTTTCAATACACTTGCGGAGTAACCATTTAGAAATACTACAATAATTGCAGGACACTTGCTTATTGTTGTTAGATTTGGACACTGTGTACCTTGTAGTTGTAGGCAGGGATCATTATCTATATTATTATTATTTCCTTGATTAATCGTACGCATTAATTTAGATTAAACAACTATATTTACTTTAAAAGTATGGTACAACGTTAAATATAATATCGTGGCTGTCGCAATTAAGCACATTCCACAATGTCACAAGTAGGCCTACAACATCGCTTGTCAGATAACGACAGGGTCAGTAATTCTCACGACTTATTACATAAACAAAGTCAACAATAAACATGACATCGTCTGAATACTAAAAGTATAAACGCTTAAACACTACTGATTAGCGCAACACATCCTGTATTTTACAAAACAGGGGTGTGATCGCATAATACCTCACCTATGTGAAAACAAGAAACGAAAATAAACTGCCTGAAGAAGCTCTCTTCTTCCGTCACATTTGACAATCTGAAAGCAAGTGTCACTCAATCTTTCGATTCATGAAGCATTCACCAGAGAATTAGATGTCATATTGTTATGATTGAGGCAGAAAAGTCAACGATGCACTCTTAAATTTGACCAATCTATAAGGATATCAACATCTCAGGCGGGAATTCCTCTGCAGTTTCATTCAATATGGCGGATCAACGATCTTTCTCCTATCCCATAATAACTTGCCAATCTAGCTCTCGCGAGATCTAATTATATATTTCAAATATTAAGAATTTATTATTAATTTTAATACTGTTCGTCCTCATTTTTAGTTATTTGGTATTTCCATAGCAAAAATGGTATTTCAGGTTAAATAATAGGAATTTCGTACAGAGTTCATGATTTGCATAACAAAAGGCCGCGCACATGCGTGTTCATTGATCATCTGATATCAGTTCAACTGAGGATATCATTACGTGCGGTTGATTATTTTCTCTGGAAACAACGAAAAGAACGAAATTGGTAAGAACATTTCATAATAAGTATATTTCTAAAGAGTATATTTAACTTTTCCAATCAAGTTCATGAGTTGTTATTTGCTGTCATAGCTGAAATTTGACTTTGATTTCGTTTGACCTAGCGACGTTGAGAATGGGAGTGTTCGGTGCGAAGAAGAGGTTCGCAACAGATCCTCGGGGACACTGACCGTAAAATGGATTTTTAATCATTGACAGTCTATGTAATGGAAAGATTACACTTTATTTGCTCTAGTCGTATGATTTTTAACAAGTAACTTTCATTTCAACGTTTTTAATTTGATATAACATGTTGTACATTAGCGGCAAATCCATTGGGTTACCAGACACATGTATGTGCACGAATCGGGACTGAGTCTGCGCTAGGCCTACAAAGAAATTCCTTTGTTCCAAAATAGGAAAACGCTGTGAGCCGTAACCCGTCGGTCAGTGACCCATTTACCGGGAAAGTCCCCCATTTTATCGATTTCTCTAGTTGGATACGGATTGTCATGCGTGCACATGTGTGTGATTTTGACCTGCGATTGGAAACGAAACAAAAATCAATGGTTTAGATTTCACTGCATTACTACAGAAGGCCTTTTTTCACTGCAATTTCGGCCCGGCGTCTGCTGAAGGAGTTATTTTTATCCGAGGTCACGAAAGATATATGGGTTTTTACCCCGTGCATAGGTCTTCAGTTTAGAGCAATATGTGCAACGAATCATTTAGTATTAGTTGTACACTTTGCAAATAATATGAGCTATATGTAACAGGCTGCTTTCAACAACGTCTGCATATTTGACACTTGTCATAATTGTACACACTGGCTATTGCATATGTGTACTGAAGTTTTGCCTAGTAGGCCAGTGTGTAAGTATGATTCACTGATTGCATTTTGTTTCTGCACTCTTTCTAGTTACTGAGTTACGCCCTTTTAAATTATCACATTGATGTCGCTTATGTTAATAATATTTGCATAGTTCAGAAATTGCAATCTGTCACCATTAATGCAATGATGTTCAAAATTCCCTTTTCTATCTTTTTCAGCTTTTTGCTATTGATGCAAAATGTTCAGTTTTCACAAACCCAAAATCTACCGGAGCATCAATGGATGTTGTATATGTAGAGCAAAGTCCTCTAGCTCGCGGTTCACTGACAGTAAGAGGTACGAATGTGAATTTGAAAAGTGCTTCAGGATAAATGAAAAAAGGGCTGGAGAAATTTGCAATGCTTGTGTTTTGTTGGTTAAACGATGGAAAAAACTACCAGCCGGGACTAGTCGTCACTGGCATCATGTAAGTTTATTTTTATTTCTTTTACGTGTAAATTCACTTATATTTCAGAGGTATGTTTATGTTTTATTATACCCTTAAATTTAACATTAAATATTTACATCTTTGATCCAAACATGTTGTTCTTTGAAGAAACTTCCAGTGTTTATTTACCTAAAAGCTCCTTTTTGAATAGGGAAAATATAGCTTTATTTTTATTGAAGCTTGGGGAGATATATTCCTATTTTTTTTAGTAATTTTGAGAAAATAAGGTAAATTTTAGCTAGGGGAAACAGCCTGTATTTGGTTGTAAAACTGAGCAAAAAAACACTCATTTCATATTTTTGGGAAATAGGTATTTGTACACATCAGTTTATTTTAATTTATTTAAAAATGACAGTGTGACATTAATGTTTTTCATATCTTTTTATTGGGTATTTAATTCCTTCAATTAAAATTAAATGTCCTTCACTGTACATTCATACATTGAAGTTGTACAATCATTTTAAAAATATTTGACCAAGTTCATGCTTGTTACCCACTTGCGCCCACACAAAGTAGGTCAGTAGAGGGCTTTCAACAGCCAGGCGCGTAGGCCTACTCATACTACCTGACCCCATTCAGCATTCCTGATGGTAGTCTCACACCCAGAGAGTCATTCAAAGTATTTCTTGCTTAAATAGCTTCTCATCTGACACATACAGACAATCTTTATGGTCTACTACAATAACTCCTAGTGTTTTATTCAAATCTGTTTTGTTAGTTACAATGTCATTTGCTTCAATTAAATGGAAAAGTACAAATTTTCTAGTTTCATTCAGTGTAAAATCAGCAACATAACTCTTTTTTTTCTAATATTGACGTAATGTTATGCACTTTAATACTATCTGATCCATATTGTGGCAAAGCATTGCAGTTGTGCATGGATGTGGCTCAGACAAGACCCTAACAAGAAACAATCAATGATATATTAAATTCCAGACCACAACACAAGGTCCGGATAGTACTGATGGCTAATATATTTTCATGTTCGCTATAGGAAATTAAACACATAACTTGTTATTGCGTTTTGTGCCGATACAATATAATCTCTCGACTTATAACAACAAAAAGCACATGTTGGCATGGTTGGAAAGGTTTTTTTAGCATGTCACAGATTTTTTTCATTAGATATGCTTCTGTATAAATATTTATAATATTAACCATTAAAACAGAATTATTTAAATGTGTTGTCAACATACTTTATAAGGAAAACTTTATGATTTTTTTGATGAAGTTGATTCTGATATCTGGGTTGAGTTTTAACACATTAGTAAGCTTGTATATTGACAAAAATAACATGTCACTATTTGTTATATGCTCGCATAGTCTTGGTGACTATTGCAATTGTCTCTGGTGTCCAGTGTAATTGCCCATATTCCTCCCTGGTCTAACAACTCCTGTCCCTACCCTACCGCTGTTGCCATCTGTTGGGAGAAAGGGGGTTAAACTGACCATTTGGCTAAATGAGATGATTTATTAGTGATTAGCTAGATCAATATGCCTTATGAGTATAGGAATATTAAACAAAGGTCCAGTGGATTTCTTCTGTCCATACTAGGCCTTGGTCAGCCATGAACCTATGAACCATCTGCTCCCTGCCCCTATACAACAAAGACAATTTCAGTGATTGACTGGGATCTATTGATTACTTAGTTAAACAAAACTTAATGAGTGTACCTAGGCTTGTTATTGATCTGTACTAGATGAGGTCACCATAACTGTTATGTAGCACAAGGTAAACTTGTCCTGGTTGCATGCTCATGTGGGCTTTGTTACAGCCTGTCCCAGTTATTTACCATTATGAAAATTTAATGCAAATATCAGGCTGCATGACGCAGAAATAATTAAGGTACTCGACCAGAAAAAATGTGAGTCAGGAAGTAAAGTTATTTTGTACACTGTAGGTGTATATAGTCATACAAGACAAATATTACTCTCTCCAGTCTGTTAGGTTCTAAATATAGTACTACCCTAGTCATACCTGTTGAGATATAAGGGGGGTGACTAATAGATAAACAAATGTATATGATATTTTTTTCTGTGGTTTAGTTTTGATTAAAAGAACATCAGATTTGACATCAAAACTGCATCCAAAATTCCAGGAATTCCCTTCCCTCTCTATGGGAGATATATTACACACTTCGTATCCAATACACAGTACACATGTATGGCATGTCCATGTCAAAGTATAATACACGCACACCATCAGAGAAACGTAGCCCTTGACATGGAATTGATTTACCAAGAATGGCTCGTTTTCTAAGGAACGTCACTGAGTATACTACAGTGTTTAACTATCACCATAAACATTTGTATTTTTAAAACTTCAAGGTAAAGATGACTGGACTACTGTAGTTCTAGTGTCTCTTTTACTCCATGGTATTCCCCCTGTAGGGTAACTGGTCACCACTGTCAGAAAAGTGACAGGTGACATATGTGCAAGATGGATGATAATTGAAGTATCCTGCCTTCCATAAAAAGACCTACTGGCAACTGCATTGTTGTGCATTCAACAATGATATGACACCCTCATTTATTGTTGTTGCATATCAATCTTCAATATATTATCTAGATAATGCCTTGTGATAGCGGTCTATCTGGTATCATTTCTTTGAGTCATCGGACGATATATCAATAGAGTCTAGATCTTGATCAAAGCCTTACCACAAAAATAATATTAAAATAGAACAATGAACCTGTCATATTGTCATCATTTTTACGATCCTAGAAACTGGGTCACCTTTGGCTATTTTTTCACTGACATGCTTTAAAGTATTTTTTCTTTGATGTTTGAAGCACGCCACTAGGAAAATGCATTCCAAGTATCACTAACCTATCATATCTCACTTGATGACTAAAAGTTGCTTTACCTGTGGCAATTTTTTTTATTGTGCATAATTCCAGGTATCTTTTTCTTCCTTTTGTTTGAAAATGTTAAGAATGATCTGCTCTGAAACTGTTGTTTGTCAAATGTAGTTTAAACCATAGCCATGGGGCACTATAAAAGTGGGTAGGGTCCACAAAGGCGTATTCTGACCCTATGACAGTACTATGTTGAATAATAGGTTTGCTCAAGGCCTTTACTATAGTGCTAATACAGGTTGTCATGTTGACCCTCTCTCTGACCTCTCTTTTGAAATCAATAACACTTGACCTGTAGGCTAGAGGTTTAAAATACACACATGGCAGCCAAAGACCAATAAATACTTCATCTGAAAGGAATTTAAAGGTGCTGACATAAAAGAAACACAAATATTTTCATTCCATGCATAATTATTGAACTGTCTCAAAAGCATATCAAATTGTTTTCATTAAATGGTAGAAGTGGTGACCATACAATGGCTGTTGTTAAAAAGGCATCATTACAAAACAAACAAAACGTATCATCAGGCTGCTGATTTTATTGTTTGTAAAGGAATTTAATGGAAACAAGCTCATTTTTTTTCCTTCAAATCAATGTTTTTTATCAATTCTGTATTAAGTTGTAGACGACTAACAGGACTAGAAACATTTGAGCTGCTTACAAGACACCACTGATAATCAGGTTTACTCCCAAGTAGAACAAATTCATTGGGATCATTATTAAATTTCTCTGCAGGCTATTAGAGAGAATTGATTTCCTTGCCAGTACAGCATTATGCTGGTATCTGTGGGTTTTATGTGTGTTGAGGCTGGCTGTACTTGTGCAGTCATTGATTGTCTACTGTACACATCACCACTATTACACTTTTGTATGTACAGCATGCTTTCACCAACTTGTAGAGGGCAATTTTTTCAGTGGTGTGAAACATACTCGACCTATTTGAAATATTAGGCTGTGCACACCTCAAAGATGGTAAAGCCATTATGAATGTCATAAGGTTTAACGGGCTGTGCCAACTTATGTGATTGCCACTTTGCATGCTTGATAAACACTCCAGTACAAAACACTTGCTGAGCCTGTTTGCTGCTCATCCTCTGACATTTTCTACACTCACTGACTCAGTCCAAACCAAACAGTCTTTTATGTTTCCTTTTTTCTGACCAACCCCATATTTTTTTCTTCTGACCATAAATCATTTTGTCTTGTGGTAATTGCGGAAAAAGAAGAAAATATTACTGATTTTTTCTGGCAAAGTGCTGGTTTTTCATTTTCAGTTCAGGTTCAATTTCCCCACATTGTCAAATGAAATTCTAATGTGTTTATAATTTGTATAGAATTCACGTATCACTGGAGCTAAACATACATTAATCTGATACATCATATATACATGTATCTGTAAGAAGAAAAAATCTCTCCACTGTAGAAAAAAATGAAACGGGTATAATGATTTCGCTTTCCTAACCTTTTTTTAAGTTGAAATAGGAAACATTTCTGCTTGGTTTTGCCTCGTTATCATTGCCTGTAGACTGCATTGGTACTACAGGGATACCAGATGACACTTAAAGCTATAGACCTGGATACCTGCAAACACCTATTGGGAACATCTGGTCACTTCAGCTAAATAATACTCCCAGCTAATAGTTCTTTTTTGAATTTAGTAGAAGGGGCAAAAGGTTTCTCTGTATTTCACTTTTAATATGTTATGAAGACGGTCCTTTATTACTAGAGTTAGTCATGGAACCACACCCAAATGCACACAGTCAGTTTATTGTTGATAGAAAAATTGTGCTTAACCAAAAGTATTGTGTTAATTGGGTTCCACAGGCTAACACTCCACTTGAACTGAACCCTACTTGTTACATCAGACCCCTCATTTTCTCGATTACATAAACTACTGAAATAAACTAGGCTGAAACCGGCTGAATCTGGGTCAGTGGGTGTCTGGGTTTCACTGTAATTTGTGTAGCGAAGCGTTTCACTTTTACAAAGAGCTTTAAAGCACATGCCTAAACAGGACTTTATTAGTTCAAAGTTGATATGTACGTTGCAGAGACTGCTTTCTGAGAAATTGAAACTGTATCCATTTCAAAAAGCAATCCTGCTCTATCTGCTGTAATTCATTGATTTGTTGAAGGGTAATATTTTGATAAATCCATTATCTTGACATGTATGTAAACACAATAATAGATATCTGTTTGAGGTTTATAAGGGTCTTCTTCCAGGTAAAATAAAAATAGCGCTGATATCATTCAGTCCATTTACAAGCCATATGATTAAATGTGTAAAAAAAAAAGTTTCATTTTCTAAATCTGTTTAAAATTTCTAAATCTAAAATCTACGTCCAAAGATACATGCTTGATGAGTCATTTTAAATTGAAGATGTATGTCCTCTATTTATCATACATGCTACCTCCTGCCCAAATGAACATTATTAATGATAAATGCTTGTTGATAAAATTGAGTAATAACTGATGAATAGATACTAATCGGCTACTTTTATTGTCACTTTCAGGTTGTCGATGCTAGGGCTGGACCCGGAATCAAATCAACGCTCAAGATTAAAAGCAAAAGTCCAACAAACAACAAATACAAGTCTCCACTGAAAACCAAAAAGTCCTATGCCATTCCAAGTCCCCGGGGCTATTTTGATGATTTATCAGGTAATTTTATGTTTGAAGTAAAATTGACATAAAAGTTCCATATGCTGCCAGTAAAATTCCTGCCATTCATCTGTTGGATGCCATCCTGCTTAAATGTAACATGCTGCTTTCCTTTATCTATTTAGATCCCTAATGAAAACAATATTTGTTGAGGTAGTGTAGATTAGATGCAGGAAATTTGTATATATACTGTAGCTAGACTGAATTCCTGTGGAGGACATGTTGAAATTGTACATTGGATTTGGTACATGAAGAAATGCAAGCTGTGCTGGATTTTAGTGATTAGTAATGTTAATTAAGTACAGTCAGTAGATATAGGTCATTGGGGAGTAACCCAATACCCACCCTATCCCAGTGACTCCTAACCATAGGTGTGGAGGTACCAAGCTCCCCATATCTACCAAGGAATGTAATTTTAAACCACTCTGGGATTTGATAACATGCTGTATACCACATCTGTTCTGCATTTCCTAATAGCTCTGTTTGAACCTCCTCATTCCACCCCCTACATGTAAATTGGTATCTACCATATATGGTATTTGTTGATTCAACTCCAGAGATGAAAATCTCTCCAAATATCATCTTTCACTAATGCATACACATTCATCATAAGGTCTCTATGCCACGGCTGTGTGTCAGGGATTCCTGCCTGGCCTGTATCTGAGGGATAGAGTTTTATCTATTAATCGGGGCTTGACTGTGGCAGGCCTTGCCATGTTGTCCCTAGGTCATATCACTCTAAACTTGGGGTGACCACTGAGTGAGGGGTCATAACAGGTCAATTTGGGTAGTGTGGGTGCATTATTAGGAGCTCATTCATTGACTCACCATGACCTATTTTGACATGTCCATACCTGTATAAGGAGCTGACCATACTGACCATAAAACACAGGTTTACATATTGCACAGTTTCATTATTTACAAGCTTTATGACTTTAAGTCTTGATAATCGTTAATATGGTGCTGTGAATCTGGACAATATTTTAGGGTTAGCCTGATTACTTGACCCTTTCACCCCTATGTAACTTTAGTAAACTCTTCCATGCATTTATGGGGATTAGTCCATTATGGTCTATGGTGGTGAAAGGGTTAACTTGTTTTCATGGTCGCCTCTAGTCTGTATAGAGCATAATTATTAGTATCTTTATTGCACTCATAAAGTTCCCTATGTATCTACATGACCCTTGCCTAGGTTGTTAATGTACATATAGTAAGGTTTTGCCTTATAAACTTCAACACAAAAGGTCAATCAGACCTAATGACTACAAATGTGTGTGTCCCTTTATGTATCACATAAAATCTACATATATACACATGTGTGTATACCAGGAAAATCTACTATACATGTGTGTGTATCGGGAAAATCTAGACATCTTGCTCCAACAATTTGTTGTCTTGTGCAGATTACTTTATGTTTTTTTGTTACCATATGTCACTTGTCATGTGTTTTTAATCTGTATATGCCACGATGGTATCCAATAGCTAGGTCATGGTCTTTTAATGTTGTCATTCCTAGCATGTCCTATATATCACCAGTAACTCAAAATATCAACACGCAGGTTTTAGACAGTCAGTAATACAGCAATGTATAAATAGGAGAACATAGTAAATAGAATTTTCTTTATAGAAATAGGTTGGAAATAGATATTGACAACACATGTCAAAATACTGGCGCTGGAACATCATGTACAAAGGCACTTGATGGCAGGCCTGATATATACTGTAACCAGGAAATAAGCATCCAGACTTCTCTGCATGGTGAATCATCACATCATCCGTGGAATTTAATGATCTAGAATAAGGTTTTTACATATATAAATACATAACATGTATAACTTTTTTATATATCTTTGAGTTTACTGATAATAAACATGTCTTATTATTTCACCATATAAAGTGAATGAGGATAGTTGTGACAAGGATGTGTTTGGGGCGAGTGATAGCGACGATTCAGACATAGATGAAAGTTCAGGCCCCATCGACCGGCCATCAAAACACAAGCGCAAACAGGCTGATCCTAGAATCAGTGCATTCCTAGATCTCAGCTACTGGAAAAAGTAAGTTAAAATGTTGCGCAGATTCTGCCTGAAGTGTTTCACTTTTTAGCTGGAGGATTATAAAAATGCATAGACCAAGTGCCAGCAAATCTGATAATCCTATCAAAGTACGATATATATTATATTTATATACACACTGCTTGCTAAAGTTAATTGATTACAAGTCAGAAATTAAAGAATAGGCCTTGATTCCTGTTAAATCTCTTATGATAAGTACATAAAGGGTTTATTAATGAGAATGTATTTGAAGTTTTACAACAGGCTTTGAGCCTTCTGAACATCTACATGTATTTTAATATTATTTATGAGAGTTTTTGGTTTGTTTTCAGAACTCAGGTGTGTTGTGGAATTATATTCAAAGGACTGAATGGGGAAGTGTTGGTTGACCCCCAGTTGTTACAGCCCTGTCTTAGCTGCCGTAAAGACAGCCAGACACACAGCTCAAAGATCCACCGCTCTCAGTCCACCGACGAGACAGAGAGCAACTCCAGTAGTAACAGTGGCTACGGAGACGGAGACTCCGAGTTCTTGGACACAAATTGTGCGGATACAGACAGTTTACCTGACAGCGGAACTGGTACTACAATACCTCTATCCTCCTTTCCATGTACAGACACAGCCCTCAGTGCATTTCCCACACCACCACCTCTAGCAATGGAATGCTAGTTTGGAAAAGAAATCATCTCAAAGTTTCATTATGAAAAACAAAACCATTTCTCATCACAAAAGAAACTTTATCCCCACAATTCCTTTATTTATTTGAATCAATGTGTTGTGAGCTACCAAACTTGCAATACCTGATACAGTGTCATTAGCAAAGAATGTGTACTATGAACATGTAGCTTGTGAGTGGGCCTACATGTACAAAGTTCAGTGTAACTATTTATATCTTGCCAAGGTAAGATTCAAGTGCTATAAATAGCAGATCTGTATTAACACAGGTGTATGACTGTAGTACACTCCAGCTGTAAAGTCTAGTCAGGCCTTGGTAGTGAGAGACACCACTGTCTCTGAACCCAAGTTCCAAGAATACAAAGATTTTTTTTTCTTATTCTTTTTCTAAACAATGTCTTCTCCATTATTCTGTATAAAAATATGCAACAGAAAAAGAAACAAAAATATTCAGTTGATCTCTTGAAAAGCTTATCTTAAATTTTGTGTTTTTGGAGACCGAGTTTATCTGATTTTGTGTTTTGGGAGATCACTTGTGGAACACTTCAAGGCAGTAAGAAGCACACCTGCTGAAGCTGAAGTGGTATGTGAGAGAGAGAGAGAGAGAGAGAGAGAGAGAGAGAGAGAGACGTTATTCACACTGCTGCTGTATAGCAGCAGCTGAGGACAACACACCAACTACAGATAAGACTGGTGGCTCTCTGTTGCAGCTCATCCCATGGGGATGAATTAGTGGTATAACATGTGTCCTGTAATAGGATTGTAGGGCACTGTACACTACTGAGCATGATGATGGGTGCATGCTTTCTTTGTGAGTGTGTTTGGAGTGCAGGACTCGACAACAGAGAACCTCGACACTTCCAAGTTCTGGCATCAAAACTTGAGGCCACTGAAAAAGCTGATACTTTCCATTCAGATGAAAAGCCATGAGGGTTTGGGTGTTGAGGAAAAGATAACTTGTTGGCCTTTCATGATTTACTGTGTAGGGTTGGTGTAATATAGAGGACTCTGCCTGAACACGAGATTTATACACAACGATTGTGTCAATCTAAAACGGTTTCTGTTTCAAGACTATCTAATCTCTCATAAATCACAGATTCACACACAAAAAAAAATATTTAGGTAAATTTTTGTGTCGATTTCAGCCGTTTTGACTATCAAACATGCCCCTGTGTGTTGGCCTTACTGGTATCCTGTATGCTTAGCAATGTAGAAACATCTCCTACCGAGTCTTCCAAAGCATTTACATACTCCATACATGTTCACCAACATTTCCTAATTCCAACTGCCTAAAAAGCATGCAGTTGACATGAACACAATGCAAAATGTTTTTTATTTATTTACATACATATCTCTTTATTTTTGGAGAAACTATGTTATGGTTCCCATGCAGACAAAATACACTCCTAGGAAGAAATCTGCTCAAATTGCTCATTTGGTTTGAGGAGAGGTATTCCGTTTGTTAATATCTGAAATTGAAAACAAAAAATAATTAATTTTTTAAACAGCAACTTCTCCAAGTCTGTTGTAAATCAGGGAAAATTTTGTTCATAGAGAGATATATTAAATTTGTTAGTTTGTTAAAATAATTATAGGATGTTTGTGAGCTGTTTTCATTCGTTAGTACGCATGTTCATATCCCCACCAAAATATTATTGAATATATTTTTCTGTATATCAATATTTCCAACTCTACTACAAAGCCTTATAGAGGTTGATAGTACTCCTTTTGTGGCTTAAAAGGGACAAAGGATTGATTTCATGTTACAATAAAATCAGTTATTTTGTGGTCTGATAAATTGTTTTGAAGTCAAAAAGGGGATGTTGAATATTAATTAGTGCTTGTAACAATTCTGCTTGAATAATATAGATTGCTACCTCAGACATGTGCAATATTCTCGCATGCGTCGACCAAAGACTTCAAATTCACACATTTCTATGTTGATATTCCATAACATATTGTTATTCTGTATCGTACAGAAGCCATTTCATGCCATTTTCAGTCATTTCAAGGAAAACTTGCCAGGTACGATCAGGAACACTTAACTTGCACCTGTTGTAGCGTCTTCATTTAAAGTTCTAACAAAAAGGGGTTTGCTCAGTGTTGTGGTGTAAATTTGTACATATTTGAAGTGCTGTATTCTCTGATAAACCTAAAAGTGGATGATACTTTGAAAATAATCTTGAAATATAAAGCTGCTGTTTGTACAGATGGAAGGTTTAGGTCTGATAACAAAGCCTGCTGTTTATAGGGTCTCTGTGAGGGTGAGGTGGGGGGATCATTTTGGAGTCAAGAATGGGGACTTTGTACATAAATGTGTTGAAGATTTACTGGTGCCCAACATGTCTGGTGTGACCTAGTTTTTGGGACCTGATGATTTGAATCAGATCTGTAGATATTCCTGCGTTTTTTCTGAAGCTTATCATATTTCACTAGACTTCATAAGAAGAGGCAGTAACCTGCCCTGAACCTAGCTGGAATTACAACTTCTATCATTTCAGACATGACTTAGTCTAATTGGGGAGTTGTCATGGACAATTTGAAACTTGGATTAGTTTTAGTGGAGGTTTAAAAAAGGAAAAAATGATATTGCAAGGGGATTGGTGAGGAAAAAGGAGAATTAAAATAAGAAACCAAACAAGCTTGGATTGACATAGGATTCTCGAAAACTGAAAGATTTAAATGCACCATGTTATATAGATTTAAATGTGGTGATTATAGGGAGGGTAGGATTCCAGAACAACCTGTGTATTGTAGTCTGACCTAGTTCTGCTGTGTTACTAGGCTATTATCACAATGGGTGGATCTCAATGTCTCCGATGGTCTGTGACCATCACAATACCCTACCAGCACTGACAATGTCTTCCCCACTCCCACTGCACATTCCCAGCTCCTAGACAACTTGTTTCTGGTATAGAAGTGGTAGCCTAACACATATTTTTGGCAAGGAAACTGTACATCTGTTCATCTTTTTTCCACTTAAGATTGTAACCCATGCTGGAAACTCCAGTCTGATTACAATTCTACAAATAGAAGCTTAAAAGGAAAAATGGTAACCTCTGTAAAAAAAATCCATTTTTCTTTTTTTCTTTCTGCATCTGACATGAAGAGTTTAAAAAGGATGAGTCCCAGGCTTTTTCGTAATAGTATTCTTCTTTTTATGGTCTCTGTATCAGACTTCCTAGAATTAATTGCACGTCTTGTAAAAAGAAATCTGTACACATGGTATAATTAGGATAGGGTGCTTAATGGTTATGCAAGAAACTTGGTATAGACAAGTTTAGGGTGCTTATGATGGTAATGCAAGCTTTTGTACTTGTGTGTACCTTAATGCTTTATGTCATTCCCAGTCTCACTTTCAACTTAAAACTTATTTTTACCAACAACGTTTTATTTTATGATAAATATGGCCAGTGTGAATTCCGTAGCAATTAATTTGTATGTTGTGCTAAAATTATGTTTGATTCATGGTAAATTTGTACGTTTTGTGAGGTTCACACTCTAAAGTTTGTTCTCGTATATATTGTATTAAAACACCAGTTCTAGTTTACAAGCGAAGTGTATTTATCACATGGTGTTACACTGTCAGTTTCAGGTTCACTTGTGCACTATGAAGCATTATAAATTATTAGTTATTTTTTTATTTTTATTTAGTTCTGATATTCCCCGAATCACAAACTTGGTTGTAAACCTATCACCTTGCATCAAACTTATTAACCATAGTAGTAGGATAATCTCTCATGCAGTTACTGCCAAAATGCTCATCATTTTTATCTGATTATAAAAAAAGTATTGAAAGAGGCTTGATGAATTTTTAATATTTTTTTTTTTTTTTTTATACAATGCAAGTGATTATTGAGTGTTTTTGTACTTTTATATTGATTGTGAATCCGGATAAATATATCTGATCATGAGAAAGGGAAATGTTGTGTGCTGAACAAGCCAAACCGCTACTAGTATTTTATATATTATAGCAATAGCCTTGATTACACATCAGGTTTTTTAAGCATTTTGCCATCTACTAGTCGCCCATTTTTCATTTGTGACACCTGTAATAGGCATATCATATCACGTCATCGGCAAAAGTTACACGCAATGATTGCAACAATGCGGTGCTGGATGTTCAATGTATTGTTAGTTTTAAAATTGCATTTGGGAAGTTATTTCTTAATTTCTTTTATACAGCCGTAAACTAACATTACTTTTGATTTGAAGTGCTGCTGTTCAATGTTGTCCTGTGCTGTTACCGCCTGTCCAAACACCGGTGTGTTTTTTATTTCTTGATAAAAACAAAGCACAGATATTATGAAGATTTTAATGGGTATGACCCAAATAGTCTTTTGATATTGGGGAAAACAACAGTGAGCATAGAAAACCCAAGTAGATCTAGAAGTTCCTGTGTGTGATAATAAAGCTGTTGTGGATGTTGCAAGGTTTTAACTTTGTTCCCGTGTTGTGGATCTTATTCTGAATGGTACAGCATGTGCATCTGAATCTTAATTGTTCAAACATTGTCATTTATTTTCATCAGTCTCTAAATGTAAATATGTGACTGTAAATGAAAGTTGATTTGTACTGACTGTAAATCAATCAAATTTCACAAGTTCAGTTTTTGCAGTTGTTTGCTAGTGTTTGAGATAAATGTTTTTGAGATATTTAACATGCAGCTGACTCTCCTCACAATAAACATGAGATTCTGTACCTTGCAAAATGAAGTGAGAGTAGTAATCCCTATCCACACGAAGCTGGTCTGTACAAAGTCTCCTTGTTGTCCCTCGTCCTCTCACCCTATAAGTCCTAACAAGGCATGTAGTTGGTTTATAGCGTGAAACTGTATAACTGCTCCCTGTGAATACTGAATCAAACAACCTTTCCTTCAAATGTCCTTTCTATTCTCTCCTCTGCTTCACTTGGATGGTACTAACTGAGGTATAAATAATCTGTTCTTTAATTTGTAAATAATACTGTTGTACAGAAATTGGTTTTAAAGTTAAAAGATTAATAACTTGTACAGTAATACTTTATGATTTTAACAGATTTTTTATATATATAAAAGGGGTTCAGGTGTTTCCCTGGAAAATAATGGGAACGTATTGATATATGTTTTAAGAATATGTAGTATATGAAATGAGATATGTTTGCAAAGTTGACTCTATAGTCTGTGTAAGCTGACTGGGGTGGTACAGATGGCTGTGTGTAACATACTGTCAGCTGTGTGTCGACCCATGCAAAAATACATGCATATATCACGATTGTGAGGCTGTACCTGATCAGGTGTATTGGCTTTAGGCATGATACATTGTGTATTTTCAAGCATACAAGATATTGCATGTTTGCATGAACAAGTGGAAAAGTCATGACCTTAATTATCATGAAAGAACAAAGAGAAAACAATCCTTCAGTACTTAATAACTTGCTTTGGATAATAGGGTTGACATCGGGAATTACATGATATTTATGTAACATAAGCACTTAACTGTCATCTTTGTGCTTTTGTAAAAAAAAAAAGTGCACAAGGGAACAAGCGTTGATCAATATTGGCTCTTGAATACATATACATGACAATCTGCATGTTAATATCAATGCATCAATGAGATGTGTAATTCGTAAAGGAAATGTTGGACATTTTTTTATATTTCCCCCCCCCCCCCCTTTTTTTTTTTTTTCCCCCCCCCCCCCCTTTTTTTTTTAATGAAAGAAATTGGAGTTAGGTCATCTTTCCATGAGGATTTGTTTTCTACAAGATGACTTATTTTGTATAAAAAAAAATTAAAAAAAATGTTTCATATTGGTACCGTGATTGACCTCAATGACTTGTATGTGTCTATTGTTGCTGACAACATGATCCCCTTGGATGATAAGCTGTCAGGACTCTTGTCTTGTGAATGTGGGTGAGCTCTTGCCAAATTTTCTGTTTATTAAAATATAAGAGAATAAGGTCCCGGTGGAATTTGATTCTTATCACAGTCCTGTCCATCAATGTCTTGATGTCAATTTCTTTCAGAAATTTAAAAATGATATCTTTTATATGGAATATAAAGGTGTGGACAATATAAAAGGCAAAAAGTTACTATTTGTAAGTTAAAAATCTGTTAAATAATTTATTTTAAGTCTCAAATAACCAGTGAGAGGGTGTTGTGTGTGCAAGTATGAATAAATTTCTACAGAAGGAATGGTAGCATTAATATATGAATGTGCTGTCTTAGTGGGTAGAACATATGTGAAGAATCTTTGTTGATGTTACTTAAAAAATGTAAATTGAACCAAGATAGATTGTGAACTCTTGAGACTAATAGATCTGGAAGGTAATCCAGCCTATATTGTGGTAAGTTCAGGAATAGATTAAATCTGCACTGTCACCAACACATTCTGAAAATGGTGGAATTTTGAGACGAAATTTGATTGCCTGTCATGATTATTTCCAATAGTTATAACTGCTCTGATTGGCTTTTGAAGAATGAACCACAGCCACAATTGGTCACAATTTATTTTGGTGAGTGTACACACTGTTAAATGCAGAATGTGTGCTTGGTTTTATAATATATTATCATTACTATTATCATTATGAATATCATTATATATATTTCAATGTTATATGTGAGAGAGTTCTTCCGTGTAGTCTTTCGAGCGTCATTATTACCTCTTGGTGTAGTACATAACCCATTGTGTAGTACCATACTACTTGTCCTTGTTGTTCTGGTGAGGTTGGTCTGACACTTGGTACGGATAGATCCTTCACCCTCCCACGCTGACCTTCACCTCACCTTTCACCTGGCTCTTATGCTGTAAAATCTCTCACTTTGGGATTTATTTCTTTATCAAATGAAATTTAGCTCAAATTAAGACCACCTGATGTCATCTAATACTTAGTATACAACTTTGTTACAGAAATAGCATTATTTCAATAATCCTATCAAGGTGAGGAGTTTCAATCTCCAGGAAGGTGAAAGTCGGATAATTTTACTTTGAAGAAGGTGAAAGTTTGATGACTTGACCTTGAGGAAGGTGAAAGTCGGATGACTTGACCTTGATAAAAGTAAAGTTAGATGGTTTGACTTTGAGGAAGGTGAAAGTAGGGATGTGCCAGGCCCAAGTGTTTGTCCAATCCTTGTACAAAGAAAAAAAAACATGTCCCTTTATTGCTACTGTGATGTTCGTACTGTGTACCTCATACGTGAACATTTGACATAGTTTAAAGTGTATGAAAGTTCATTCCATAGAATTATGTTTGGTACTTGGATAGAGTAACTTAAGATGTGACTGTTGTTTTACTGTTTGATAATATGTGGTAGTTTTACACAACCTTTTTGGCCACATTTCTCCTAGACATGAAATTGAGTTAAATTGAAGAAGACAGTTATTTCTAATGTCAAGAGTTGTGCTCTCATAAATAATCTACAATTCTCTTGTCTCAAAATATCTGCCTTCTTATTCGAAGCAAATAATCCCCAATCTATTGTGTGTTTTATGGGCATATTCAAACATGGGATTGAAATGTTCAGATGATATTAAAATACAAAAGAGAATTTCAGGTCTGACATTATTTCTCCACAACATCAATAATGTAAATATTTATTACTCTAGATTTTTCCTCTTTACTTGAATGGGTGTTCGATGTGCATGATTTTTCTTTTGATTCAAGTACATGTCTGATAGGAACTGTAAGGGATATGATGTGTTATCACATTGTCAAGTCCATGTCTGATAGGAACGGTAAGGGACATGATGTGTTATCACATTGTCAAGAACATGGCTGATAGGAACTGTAAGGTACATGATGTGTTATCACATTGTCAATAACATGTCTGATAGGAACTGTAAGGGATATGATGGTTTATCACATTGTCAAGTACATGTCTCATAGGAACTGTAAGGGGTATGATGTGTTATCACATTGTCAAGTACATGTGTGATAGGAACTGTAAGGGACATGATTTGTTATCACATTGTCAAGTACATGTGTGATAGGAACTGTAAGGGACATGATGCGTTATCACATTGTCAAGTACATGTCGGATAGGAACTGTAAGGGACATGATGTGTGATCACATTGTCAAGTACATGTCTGATAAGAACTGTAAGGGACATGATGTGTTATCACGTTGTCAAGTACATGTCTGATAGGAAATGTAAGGGACATGATGTGTATCACATTGTCAAGTATATGTCTGATAGGAACTGTAAGGGACGTGATGTGTTATCACATTGTCAAGTCCATGTCTGATAGGAACTGTAAGGGATATGATGTGTTATCCCATTGTCAAGTCCATGTCTGATAGGAACGGTAAGGGACATGATGTGTTATCACATTGTGAAGTACATGGCTGATAGGAACTGTAAGGGACATGATGTGATATAACATTGTCAAGTACATGTCCGATAGGAACTGTAAGGGACATGATGTGTATCACATTGTCAAGTATATGTCTGATAGGAACTGTAAGGGACATTATGTTTTATCACATTGTCAAGTCCATGTCTGATAGGAACTGTAAGGGATATGATGTGTTATCCCATTGTCAAGTCCATGTCTGATAGGAACGGTAAGGGACATGATGTGTTATCACATTGTCGAGTACATGTCTGATAGTAACTGTAAGGGACATGATGTGTTATCACATTGTCGAGTACATGTCTGATAGTAACTGTAAGGGACATGATGTGTTATCACATTGTCAATAACATGTCTGATAGGAACTGTAAGGGATATGATGTGTTATCCCATTGTCAAGTCCATGTCTGATAGGAACTGTAAGGGATATGATGTGTTATCACATCGTCAAGTACATGTCTGATAGGAACTGTAAGGGACATGATGTGGTATCACATTGTCAAGAGTTGTACAATCTATTAGTATACCATAGTAACTTCAATCAACTGTTATATGTTTGCATTACCAAATATAACTTATCTACTTCCTGTGTTATGTTTGATTGTAAATCTCCAATCCTCTCAGTAAATCGTATACCGTTATATTTGTCTCTTGGTACAAATATGAGATTGGATTTATAAAACGGCTATGAAAAAAAAGTATTTCTTGAACATAACACAAGATTTAGATAAATTGTAATTATTTATTTATTATTTGTTTTTATTCATGTTTGTTCACCACCCTCTGTAAGTATAGAGAAATTTCAGATGTTTATAATGTATTTCATCAAAGTAGAATTATTCATTGATGCTGCCTCTGTTCTCTGCCCAGTGTTTTTATACCCACATCATCCTAGAGTACATGACAGTAATGGTGATCTCGTACTTCTATATATTATTATATATATATATGCCGGCCAACTTAAAGTTATATTATCAGATGGAGTTAAAGATCTCAGGGCAATTCCAGTCACTGGAAGGCATTTTCACACCTTTCATAATTACATAATTGTCTGGTACGCATTGTGCATGATAGGTATATGAATATCTTCCCATTTACTCATCAATATGCATTACTATGCTGTACATGATAAACCATAATTGTAACAATCGAAAAAAAATACAAATTTATATAACCTTATATATATATATTTTTACTCTCTTTTTTTGTCTTTTTTTTTTTAATGAAAATATACAAAGAGTAGGAGCTATCTTGATATGCAATCCCCATGAACTATACTCATAAGTGTGGGCAGGCTCCAGACAATATGCCGGTCTGGTCACCCAGAGGAACAAACCCTTTGGGAGTTCTGTCCTGGTACCAAAGGACATTTTGCCTGTCAACTGTCACAAGTTTTTCAATATCATGAGTAAATGTTGGCATTTCCAGTGGAATATTTTGAAGAAAGAAGAAAAACTGCTTTACTTGGGTATCTCTTGTATTGTTAAGGGGTACAGTTGTCAAAGGCCAGTACTACAAAGATATGCATGGCATCAAAGTTTTAATGTGAAGATTCTGGTGTGAAAATTAACATGTTCTTTTGAATTTAAGTATGAAGTGAAAAATTTAGATAAGTCTGTCAGTTCGTGTAAATTATACCTCCATATTAAACAATGTGTACAGACGAACAAGCAACAGAATCTTCATTAGTGAAAAAGAATCTGAGGAGTAATTATGTGAAAAGTCTGAGTGTTATTGTCATTTTCGTTCATTTCGTACCATACAACATTTCTCGAAAACATTCTTTTATTATTATTATTACAATTATTATTACCGGTAATATTATTAATGTGTTTTGTTTCTCATTATCGTCAGAATTGTTTTAAATACTCAACTATTTCATAGGATGTCTATTTATTATTTGTACATTTGAAAAATTTATTTATTCACTGGAAAGTGATTTCGTGGATGAGTACAAAACACCCTTGTTAATTTGTTGATATGTTTAGAGTAGATTATAGAGGTCGTGTGGTTATGTGCGAGATTCATTGAGAAACTCTGTAAAGTCTATGTAGTTAATAATATAAAGACATCGTACTGTATCTCATCTTGTCGAGTTTTCTTTTCTACGTGAGGCTCTCAAAGGGGAGGAGTGTAATTCAACATCTTCAGCACGCCCCAGTACTGGCGCATGAAGTGATTGTTGCCAAATGCAAATTAGTTTGGTACACATCTTTCTAATTCGCATTACTTCGTCTTAGATATAAAGATAATACAAGATATATAAATACATCGATGCATTCTATTCTACACGAAGGGAATATATCTGCAATATAACACCTTCGAGAGCATCA